AGCGACAGGACCTCCGAGCTTGTCTATTCGGGTCGTTTACCCGTTTAATATCGTTATTTCGCGCGAGGAGAAAGTCATCTCGACCTGGACGGATGTTCCATAAAGCCGTCGGCCTTTTAGTTAGCTTCGCATGTGACGTCATGGGCCGGGGCCATTTTTCCCGGTGTCGACTCCTGATGCATCATGGGTGGAGCTATTGATACCCTCCTGGCTAACGTTAAAGCGCCTCTGGACTCTGTCTGCTGGTGGTGCCACTTGTAGTCTGAGAGGACGAACGCTCCTCACTTGGGCTCTGGACGTGATCGGCAGTCCCGACACGCCCTGGGGTGCTGAACAGTTCCCATCTGACGCGACCAGCCAGGTGGTCAGTTATTCATCGGTGTCGGCTCCGGTGCTAACGGCACGATCACGGCGAGGTACAGATTGCCCAGCAATAATCAATGCAGTGACCCCCGGGCTCTTGGGAAATCGCCGGTGGCACGGAGCGTGTCCTAGGGTTGTAGTGTATTATGAATGTCACATGACGTGGTCTGGTACGGCTAAGAGACTTGTTACTGCCAAAGGCTGGTCTGGGCTTAGTTTCCCTTTCTTTCTCTGAAACGTTGTTATACTACTTTGTTCTCCGTCAGCTTCATTGATCCCCTGACCCAATTGCATAGTGTATCTCTGTACGTTTGCTCCTCCTCTCTTTCGTCCGGACCGCGGTGGACGCCCCGCCGCCCTCTAGCACACGCTCAGGCCGCCTCTCCCCTCCTCTCCTTTCCCCCAACGCTTCCCAAAACCCGCTTCAACCTTACCCAATTCTCTCCCGATTCTGTGTCAAATCATGCATCATTTAAACTATTTAATTATCCTCCAGACATGCGTATTCTTTTGATTATCGGAGGAATTGAATCGAACCCTGGGCCAATAAATAACAAGAAATTATCGAATAATATTACGATAGCCCATGTAAATATAAACAGTATAACGGCCACTGGCAAGGTCCAAGAGCTAACAAATTTTGTCGACGTTAATAAAATCACAATTCTCGCACTCACTGAAACTAAATTGGACGACTCAATTAACCCGAACCTTTATACTATTGACAATTTTCATCCACCCATTACAAGACACAGAGACAGACACGGAGGAGGCACGGCAGTATACATTCACAGCTCACTTACATTTTCCAGAATTTCCTCACTCGAATTGCCTGGTGAAGAATGGATTTGGATAAAAATAAAAATAAAAGACTCTACATTTTTACTGTGCTCAATCTATCTCCCACCCAATATTCCAGCACATCGACAAGAAGAGTTTATAGACAGACTAACCGACAGTGTGACTCGTGCACATCTCTACTCCCCAAATGTATTATTGACAGGCGACTTAAATGTTGGCAACCTATTCCTCCCTCCAGATACCTATCAACATAGTGGACTGACAGCTTTCGACCGAAAATTAAGAGACGCAACTGACACCATTGGACTAACGCAACTCATCGACCAACCTACGCGTATTGAAAATGACACATACAACCTACGAGACCTCTTTTTTACATCCAATACTAAATTTATCATTGATAGCGGACTTCTCTCTTCATTTTCGACACTTGACCACTTTCCTGTATTTGTGACGCTATCAATCCAGGGAGAAAGGAATGATGACAAATATGTAACCGAGTACTGGGACTATGCAAATACAGACGCCGATAAATTAACACACATTTTACAACAAACAGACTGGACAACAATTCTTTACAAGGACACTGATGACGCAGCGACTGATTTTACTAACCGTATAATTGACGCAGCCAAAGAGTGCATACCGATAAAACAAAGCAAACGAAGACATGACAAACCTTGGGTGACACCAGAACTTTTGAAGGAAATTAGGAAACGTGAACGTTTATTTAATGCTGCCCGAAAACGAAAAACCGACAAACAAGCGTGGGCAAAATGGAAAACCCAACGCAACTTCGTGACAAATTTGAATAGACAACTTTACGACGAACATGTAAAAAATAAAGTATCACTTCTACTTCAGAACAAACACGACCCTCACAAATATCATAAAATTTTAAGAGACATAACAGGTCATAAACAAAACCATTCCATACCGACACTCATACAACACGATGGCACAACAGCGACAACTGACACTGACAAAGCCACCATGCTGAATACATACTTTGCCTCACAAACACAACTTGACATCACAAACGCACACATTGCACAGCTTCAAACATACACAGCAAGAAACACTGAACCAGTACCCACTCTCAGCAGCATTGACATCACCCCTGGTGAAGTCCTTCGAACCCTGAACAGCTTAGACGCTAATAAAGCTTGTGGTTCAGACAGATTGCCTACGAAAATTTTAAAAATGACAGCATTACTGATTTACGAACCTTTGACACAACTTTTTAACAAATCTCTCACCACCGGAATATACCCCACATCTTGGAAAAAGGCTAAAGTTCGACCAATATTTAAGCGAAAGGGAACTCCGTCTGAATTAAATAATTATCGCCCAATCAGTTTACTTCCGTGCATATCAAAAGTTTTTGAAAAAATTATATTCGCTCATATATATCAACACATTACTGAATTTTCGCTTCTAACCGACAGACAAAGTGGATACCGACCAGGACACAACACTCAACTGCAACTTACATACATGACAGACTTACTGTACAAATCTCTCGACAACGGACGCGACTTCACCACAATATACTTAGACATTTCTCGATATTTTGAAAAGATTTGGCACAAGGGTCTTCTTATTAAGTGTAAAAAGGAGTTTGGAATAACGGACAACTTACTGACGTGGCTTGAATCTTATCTGACGGACCGACAGCAGACAGTTGACATTAATAATATTACATCACAGACACTGACACTTGACGCTGGGGTACCGCAAGGATCGGTTTTAGGGCCACTTCTGGCGATTTTATATTTAAACGGACTATGTGACAAAACCACAAACAAAATGCTTTTTTATGCCGATGACTGCTCTTTATACTCGTCTTACTCTCCAACTGACAACTTTCACGACGCACAAACGACACTACAGAAAGACCTAGACATCATACACAACTACGGACAAACATGGGCTATAACATTCAATGCAACGAAAACCACACAACAAACTTTCTCACATCGACAACAAACTAATCGACCAACCCTTACTTTCGGCGGTACTTTATACCCAATAGCAAAACACATACCTAAAGGAATGCTTCTATCTCTCTATATTACTTACGTTCAACCTTTCCTCGACTATTGTGACATCACTTACGACGGACACATCACAACGACTGACGGCATGCGACTAGAAAAAGCACAAAACAGAGCAGCACGACTGATCACTGGGACTGGACTTCGGACATCGACTAACGGACTGCGACGAGAACTAGGATGGACTTCTTTGACCGACAGACGGAAAATCCACAAACTTCAGTTTTATCACAAATTAATATTCAATCCTATAGTTCCCGAATTTATTAAGACCATTATTCCTAACACAAGACAGCAAAACACAACACGAACTTTACGAAATATTTCAGCTCAAACAATACCATTGGCCAGAACCACATCCTATCACCGATCCTTCGTCCCATCCTCTACAAGCCTCTGGAACACATTGCCCGAACATCTACGCACAAACAATAACTACTTTACCTTTAAAAAACACCTAAAAGAACTGATTACACAACCCCGTCCACCTCTGTATTATTTCCTAGGCACAAAAACAGGCAACATTTTACACACAAAACTACGACTGAATACTTCAAAACTTAATGCTCATCTTTTCTCCATACAACAAGCTAATTCACCCTCTTGCACTTGCGGCTATAATTCTGAGAACACAAAACATTTCCTACTTTCCTGTCCACTTTATCATACTCAGCGAAACATTCTTTACAACACCGTGTCGCCCGTCATCCGCACTGACTTTTCCACTCTCCCTTCCTCCAAACAACTCGACATCCTTATCCACGGTACAGACCTGAGTCGTGAGGAGGGCCGTGTGGTTGCCACCGCTGTCCAATCCTTCATCATCCATACCCATCGCTTATAAAATACAACATCCCAGTCCCAATCCTCACCACTACCGTGGTCGGACGAGTGGGCGCGGTGCGGGGCAGCCTTGCAGTGCCGCCGGGGTCGTGGAGCGTTGCCGGGCTTGGGCGGTCCGGTCGATCGACGATCACTTTGACATGTTTTGCAACATAAATGTTTTTATTCCGTTCTTCTTGTTTCATTGTGTTTCATCATTATTATTGTTGCTAAATACGTTAAGTACTTCTCGTTTAGCAAGCGGCGCCATGATTTAAGTGCGTAGCACTTTTGCGCCAATTGCATACTTTATTTGTTATATTCATATGTTTGTTATTGAATAAATGGTCTCTCTCTCTCTCTCTCTCTCTCTCTCTCTCTCTCTCTCTCTCTCTCTCTCTCTCTCTCTCTCTCTCTCTCTCTCTCTCTCTCTCTGCTAATGACTTGGTGTGCTTTGACGAGGATCGCTTTTCTTGTCAGCTGTTTGACGATGTAAGAGTATCGCCTTGCTGACCTATGTCCACATAACTGCTCAAGCGAAATAACAAATGGTTGTCTGACAGACGTGTTTGCCAGCATAGTCGCCCCCTCTCCCGTAATGACGTTCACTCCGATCTCCCTTTTCAGGGTCCCTCGTCTGACAACATGCTCCCCTCTGAATAAGTTTTCTTTAAAGTGCCTCCTGTCTGAGCGTGTTCCCATCTGACCGGGCTCTCATCCAACGTGACCATGGCTCCATTTGACTATGATTCAGTCTGGCTGTGCCGGGTGCCCCATGTCCCGTTTTGACCGTGCCCGCTATACTTGTGTCCCGTACCGTTCTTATCGTGTTCGCTTATGACTATGTTTTATTTGATCATGACCTTTTCTGATTGTTTTCCATATTTCTTCTATGTCTCCGTTATGTCACTGTACCGTGTCCCCGCACTCACATTGTCCATCTCTCTGACCTCGCAGGACCTGCAGACGGAAATCGACTCGCACCGGGACGTGTACGCCTCGCTGGTGGGCGGCGGCCAGAAGCTGGGCGCCGGCCTGGACAATGCCGAGGAGGCCTCCATGCTGCAGTGTCGGTTGGACCAGATGAACCACCGCTGGAACTACCTGAAAAACCGAGCCGTCGCCATCAAGTGAGTCCGGACACACCCGTAAAGTCCTGTACTGCCTCCTGTCGCCCTTTGGCGCTCCGTCCGCCGGTATTTAACACGGCATTGCGTGGGATGGGTGAATGATTTTAGGTAATTGTTCGCAGTGGTCGTTCCGAAGTAGTTGGTGAAAGATGTAAAGCATCTCCATCTTAGCTGGATCACTTTGTCTGGCCAGATATCACCATTGACCCAGTGCCATTGACCTTACGCCACCCCTTTCAAAGGTAAGCTGAGCTAGCGGAACCAAGACGTGTCCGTGGGCTTTACCATAAACGTTCAGCTTATCGATTAATTGGCTCATTCACTGTTTTAGGCACGGTGTTATTGTTTCGCAAGACGAGGAACGTATTGATAATACTATAATTAACATTGCATAATTGCATAGTTATGGGAACCTAGAAAATATTTTTGTGTGCGTTATGTAATCTACCATATGCAATCGGCCGCAGCTGGATATAGCTTTTACAAATAGCCGTTTTCTATATCCAAAGTGCGCTGCTCATGTGGTACCATTTCTCGAACTAGCCAGTGGAAAATTGTGAATTTCATGGGCATCCTGTGGAGGCGGAGGGCATCAGATTCAATTTCGGTCAGTCGCCTGTGCGCGCCGATGATATACATAGGTAGGAATCGGCTATCGATCTTACCGCTCGTCGGCACGGACGCGCCAAAGGTCACACTCGGCGCCGCCGGCTGATGAATGACCCGGCCCAGGGGTGATAGGTGACCCTACCCTACACAGCTCGTCAGCGGCAGTCTGCAGTCAGATCATTAACTCCTGGTGTGCCGCCACCTCCTGTTCTGTCGTGCTGAAAGGTGTCGGTAAACACCGTGTCAGATTCAGTCCAGAGTATCGGTGTATCAATCGTCGAGCACCAGGAGGGTGCGAACTGCGATGGCACGTCACCTGGCTCGATATACTGCCAGTGCTGTGGACTGTAGACCTCGGCAGCTGGTCACTCCGATGGCCACTGTGTCCACGCTATAACTCCAGGCTTTCACTGAGCGAATAGCGCGGACAGAGGTAGCACCGGCTCGATGCTGAGCTGCTACTGCGCGTCCACCTCACCACTCTTCATTTAATGCCTTTGTCTGTGCCATTTGGGCCTCGTAGGTGCCATATAACGCTATATTATCGGGACGCCATGAAATTCCAATCGCCATCTCTCTGATCTGATAGCCGCTACCGGGGGCGCTCCTGGTCCCCTGATGCATCGAACGGGGAACGGTGAGGGCATGGTCGTCCCGATCCACTCTCGGCCGATCGGCTGCGAAGAGGTCATGCCCCTGCACCGACCGTGCTCTACTCCGGGGTGATGAATTCGCCGGGCCCGGACAGAATTAGATTCATAACGGCGCGACGGCTGCACTTCAATCAGCGCCGGAGGTAATCCATCCGGCGGACGGCGGCGGAGCGCGGCGGACGGTCTCACCTGGAGGCAGAGCGCGGCGGGCTGGCTCAGAGAGAGGCGGGCTGCCTCAGAGAGTGACAGGCTGCTTCAGAGAGTGGCAGGCTGGCTCAGAGCGGGGTGGACTGCCTCAGAGAGCGGCGGGCTGCCTCAGAGAGCATCGGTCTCACCTGGCGGCAGAGCGTGGGGACTGTCTCAGAGCAGCGGGGGTTGGCCCAGAGCGGGAGGGACTGTCTCAGAGAGAGGCAGGCTGCCTCAGAGAGGGGTGGACTGTCTCAGAGACCATCGGTCTCACCTAGCAGAGCACTGGGGCTGGCTCAGAGTGGCAGGCTGCCTCAGAGCGCGGGGGCTGGCTCAGAGTGGCAGGCTGCCTCATAGCGGTACGGCTGCCTCAGACAGCGGCAGGATACCTCGGTGCGGGGCTGGCTCGAAGAGCGGCGAAAAGCCATCGAGCGCAGAGGCCAGCCATGAGCGCGCTGCTCACTACTCCGTTGTTGGTTAGCCATGCTTCCCCGCTGTCGCTTCTCGTTTCTCGTTTGTCAATAGCTGTCGATGTAGGTTGTTGATCACAGTGATCGCAGTCTGCTCCTGTCGCCAGGTCAGCAGACCGGAGGTGTCCGATTACATATCAGATGACCATGGGACCCCGTCGGTGACCGGCTGATCTGTCACTGCTGAGATCGGCGCGTTGGGCTTGTCTTGTTCTTGCGACCCGTTCATGGACTTCACCACTCTAGCGGCTTGCTGAGTTTGTCGGACAGCTCAGTCCCTCAGTTCTGCTCTGATGGGACGCGTGCCGCTCGGTCCCAAACTACCTGCCGCGCCCGGCCGGCCGGCTGACGGGTCAGCTGTGTCGTCCAGGGCGCCGGGCGGTAATTGCTCTCGGTGGGCGGGGCGGGGCGGCAATCGGCCGGCCCGCACCCGCCCCTAATTGCCACAGGTTAATTGTGTTAGCCGAATAATGACGAGATCCAGACGCCCGGCAGCCAGTCTACCTACGGCTTCCTGTGAATCTCAGCTGGCACACTCCAGTCGCGGTGGTGCTTTGCGTATCATATCATTGCCCACTGTCCAGTCCCCACCCCCATTCCATTCTAGGTACTACTGTGTCTTCTAGTTCTGTCTTCTTTTCTTGTTCAGGTTCTTGTTCTCTGGTTCCGGATACTGTCCAGCGGTCCAAGGAACGGCCTGCTCGAAACGGCACGGTCGGCGTCTCCGCACTCTAATGAAGGGAAGCCCCGCCGCGGCTCGGGACTGCTCCCTCCCTGATCAGCTCTGAAGGGGACGTGGGCTGCGTGAGTGAAGAGAGAGGGTGAGAGTCCGTGAGAGGTCAGAGGGGAGCTCCGATCACGGTCGCCGGTGAGCGAGGAGCGTGAATATTTGAGCAGCGCTCGTCGGGCGACTGATAGGGGCCATCAGCCGCCGGCCGTCTGCCGTATAGGACCAGACGCGACGCCGAGCGGGCCAGCGAGGCGCACACCTGGGCCCTGGCGCTGAGCGATTGGCGCCGACCGGTGCCGACCCGGGTGTCGGACAGAGAGCAGAGTCGTGTGTTCGACAGAGGGTGATGTCGGACAGCTCAGTCAGATCTGTCCGGCAGACAGGTGGGAGTGCCGCACAGCTCAGTCACGTTTCGACTGGCTGACTGTGAATGTCGGTATGCGCTGACCGAGTCACGTTTTCCGGCCAACCTTTCCAACACGGGCTGGCCGATTTGACGTGTGAACGCCGGCCTTCGGGCCGCCAGGTGTTGTCCCTTGCGTTCTTCGAGTGCTGGCTCCCGAGACAGAGCCTAGCTCTAAGCGCGGTGTAGCTGGTAGTCGGGGACGGGGTGGGGGTGGGATGACTCGCCGGCGGAACAGCTAGTCGCAGAAGACACTTGTCCAGCTCTCTGGAGAGGCACTGGGCGCCGTTTGAAGTGGCTCGCTCGTCCCAACTGACGCCGGGGTTGAGCCGACACGGACACGAGATGTGTATGTCTGCGAGCGCGTCCGTGCGTGCGAATTTCCTCCGGCCTGTTAATTAAAGTGTCTTCGAATAGCGCTACGCTGGAAGCAAACCGACGAAAGTGGGTACACCCTGTCTCCGGGGCCAGGGAGCCGACATTTTTGGCTGAATTAATACGGCTGTTCACTGGGTCGGCAGCCCCGGGGCGTTATTGAAATACCGCCCGGCGAACAGCTTGGTTCAAAGGTGACCGTATGGGGTGTGTGTGCGCGCGTTCTGCCGGGGCCAATGCTGGCCAGTCGGACCCTGTAGCGGCGGTGCGTTCCGACGCACCGTGCGGTGGCGTGCTCTGTTCTCCGTAGCGCGCAGGGTCGTGCTCTGCTCTGTTCTGGCGCTGGCGTGATGCGGCGAGATAGGCGGTCGGCCGCCGCCGTAATGGCTATTGATGTGTGAGATTTGGGCGAGTCGGCGGCGACGGCCCGGCCGCCCGTCCATCAGCCGGTATTATGTTGCGTCGAGTGTCTGGGAAGGCGGCGAATTGGACGGCGGCGGCCATATCTCAGCCGGCAGCGCGGCGCCGCCCGACCCCGGATAATTCAATCGCTGCACGCCATGTCGAACATTTATAAACATCCCAGTTGTGGCTGACCAAACTCCGGGCTGCAGTCGAGCGCCGACCGACCGCAGCTCGAGCCGCTGAGGCACGCAGTGTTGTTTGATATTGGTGTCTTCCTGTTCGCGAATCAAAAATTATTTATTTAGGTAAATGAGCGTGAAACACGACTGATTTTGCGAGCACCATTGATGGACATAATCGCAACCAGGCATTTGAAACGCGATTTGATTAAAAAAGAACATTGCAACCTAAACTGAACTTTTTGCATTTTTCTTGAATTGTTCGTGTTTTGCGAATAGTTAGGCAGGAATTCTTTGATGCGTCTTCTGCTGTTGCACATATTAGTTACTTTTACGATATTCTGTGGCATGGCTCCATATGGCCCAATGATCAGACTACAGCGCACTATGTTATATTGCCACTGCTGATCTGATGATATAAATATTTTTTTTATTTTTTTTTCTAAATAGTCCGTCACCCATGAACAGATGACCAGGAGTGCCCCCACCGCAAATATGAAGCCCCTGACGCTACCACTACGAGCTGCGTGAATACATCGCCCCGAAGTGTTCCCTGCCAGATGTAGGTCGTTCTTACGAGCCCGAGCAAATGCCGATTGCCAGGCAACATTTCAATAAGGAGCACTACAGATGATTGGAGCTTTCTGTGCCGCTAGTGGTTTTTGTGTCACTAGGCCACACGTGACTCGCGCTTGGCGGCTTTCTGTGGGATATTGTTGCAATGTTCAAAGGCTACGCTAAGACTAAAAGCTATCGCTAATTCCACAAAAACAAATTGAGCAGCGGTCGTCTCGTGCTTCTGAGTAGTGCTTGCCGCCTGTTCGTTATCTTTATTGAACAGCGGCCCTCGCCAGCACTGACCTAACCATTCAATAGTTAACCGTTACCTTTTTTAATGACAGCTATGCCCGCGCTTATAATTCTGGCAATACATGCATTGTTCTGTCCATGGAACATGTGTAGTATGCGGGTACGTATCCGTCTGGCTGAGGTATTACAGAACGCTTCCGTTCAGTGTCTGACTCTCTCTGTGGTGCCCTGTGTCTCCGCAGGAACCGGGTGGAGAGCAGCTCGGAGAGCTGGGGAGCGCTGCTGCTGTCGCTGCGGGAGCTGCTCGAGTGGACCATCCGCAAAGACACGGAGCTCGGCCGGTTAGGACTGGTCACCGGAGATGTGGCCGCCCTGCAGAGACAACAGGTAAGAGCGGGACGCACTGTAGGGTGAAGGCAGGAAGGGAGCATGGCACAAGTGTAGAAGACAGATAAAAAGACAGATAAAAGCGCTCCCCTTTGCTTAGACGGCTGGTAGGAGTTTGCGGGAGTTAAAGTTGAAGCGAGGTCACACTACACAATATTTTGGCAAAAGCACCGGAAGGACGACAGTCGCTGTTCCAGCCCTCCAGCCTGTGGTGGTGCTGTCAGCCCCTCCCCTCCCCTCCCCCCGCCCCGCCCCTCGGCGGTCGGTGTCGGTGTGACGGAGCGGTGACACGGCGGTCTCATTTACCGGCCGCTGTCAAACGTCGCGTGCGGCCGCCGGCATAAACAGCCGCTGTGACACGGTCCACGGTCACCGCCCTGGAGCGGCAGTGGCCTAACCACCACACCGCCGCTCGTAATGTCCCGCTGGTAGCATAGAATCCGCCGCCGTGTGAGCGGCTGCGGCCGGGCTGCTCGTTTGACGCGGCGCCGCGGCCTCACAGAGCCGTCAACAGCCGTCGGCAGCCTACCCTGGGGACGGAGCGCGCACACCTCATATCGGGCGAGCCACTGTTTACTGTGCGCCGGTGGGGGGCTCTAATTGCGAATATTAGCCCAATTAGCCCAATGTTGGAGTTGATCGTAAAATAGGTGCTTTCGGGAAGATTGGCTGTCATTTCATCGTTTTATGCACTTTCATTGAATATGCTCGCATAATACACGTCGCACAGTGTGGAAAAACCGGCCTCATCTTGGCTCTATGTTTGCGTGTATCACTGTGTCGAACCCATGTCGTATCACTGTGTGGCGCCGTGTTGACCGTGTGTATCACTACTGTGTTTAAATCACTGTGTGTTTCTGTCTGTCCAGGAGGACGTCCGCTCCCTGCTGAGCCAGCTGGACGACAAACAAGCGCTGATCGACAGCAAGCTGAAGGCGGCGCGCGCCATCACTGCAGAGGCGGCCGGACTGTCCGAGTCTAGCGACAGCGAGGGTGAGAGACCCCACCCCACCCCACTCACCCATCCACTTCAGCCTGTGTAAACCCCGGCCCAGCGCTGGAGAGACTCGAGACTGCCGGTCTCTGATCCTCGCCAGACGAGATGATTTCTGCCGATGTAAGAGATGTTTACATAGTCCGTCGAGCCGTTTCAAGAGTTCGACAGACCGAATTCAGTGACGCCTTGAAATTCTCGGCGCTGAAGCATAGTGTAGCGAGGTGTGAAGTTTGCGGTTGGGATTGAGGATGGTTTAGTCAGGTCGGTGTCGAATTATGCATGCATCGCTGGGTGGCGGCAGCCGGCTCCAATTTCCGACTCCATCACGGTAATGTATTCGGCGGCCGCTGCGGGAGCGGCCCGCTGGAGCCGGGACGACCGCGCTGTCTGAGCGGGCCTGTCGCCGCCGGCCGAGCACGCCATAGCCGGGCGCAACGAGCGCGTCCCGGCCGCCCGGGGACAGCTTGGACCCGCCGCCGGTCCCTGTTGAGCCCACGGAGAGCGCTGAACTTTGGTCGCCGCGCCGGTCCCGACTGCCGAACGGTCGCGGATAATGGCATCTGTGAGCCGCCGGGCGCGTCGGGTTCTGAATGCGGCCCCAAACGGCACTGTTTTGCAGCAAAAGTGTCCAAACATAAAATCGTAAAACTGTGATCCGCTTTGTCCGATCGGAGTGTGTTTGAAATTCACCTGCCGGGCGCCGGAGGTGTTTTGTTCTGCTCTACAGTGGCCTCTAGGTATGGTGACGCTGTCGTGGGTTGGTGCCGGCTCCAAACTGACACTGGCAGGTCGCTGTTCAGCCTTCTTATGCCGCCAGTCTGTGCCGGTCATGTGTCAGATTCTCGGTACTCGCTGTCTCAGCACCGACCAAACCATTGCTTTAATCGCCTCAACTTCAGTGCGGTGACAATGTATCATGTGGGTCCTTCCGGGGCGGAAGCGGACTCGGTTAGTGCCGAAGTTAGCGCGCCTCTCCTGGGACTGAGTCTCTGCTGTTCCTTCCGGGAGGCGGGCCGTTCATTTTGTGTTTCTTCTGCTCGCGATTCCGCGGCCGGCGTCGCCCTGCGGTCATTGATTGGCCTGGACCGGTCGGACCGATGCCGTCTCCACTCTTAGTGTGCTGCTGCTCGCAGAATAGCGGCTTCGGTACGGGGCTGATGAAGTCCTCGGCGAAAATACGGACTGCGGCCAGCATTCACGTCAGCGGAGTCTTGTTTTTCTGTGGAGCAAATTAGCATGGCTCAATGCTCATTGATCTGCCTCTCCTACGGACATGCTGCATTGAGATCGCTCTTGATTTGCTCGTACAGTGTGGGTGGCGGGCTAGGCTGCTATTTTCTCGGAAAAGTGTGTCTAGTCGAGTTTGATGTTACATCGACTCAGGGATGGATAAATGGATAGGATTAGCTTATTATTTGTAGTCAGCGTATTTGCGTTTTTGCTCGGCACATTCATGTCGGCAGTAACCTGATGAATTACATTTATTTATTTTCTGCCTTGCTTACCTATTTATTGACCATCGCCTGCATGGCCCGCTGCCACGACGGAAGTGGCTGAGCTTCCGTTGAACCTCTTCTGGTCGTACTTGTTCGGTGTGTTATATATTAATGCTCCCTCTCGAGTTAATCACTCTTCAGGGCTGGCACCTCCTGATCCCCCAGCCGATTGAGTGTCGGTACTCTGTACTGACTGGTTCCCCGTTCGATTGTAGATCCCAGTACCGACTGAACGATCTCGTACATTGGTATGTGGCACTGCTCGCCATTTGCGCTGTACGGCAAGGTGGTGCTCAGCGCCGCCGTCTCCGGACCTGTGGCTGACAGGACGGGGTTGTGGAGTGGACTCTGGGATGGCCAATGCTCCCCAGGGCGTGATTTCCTCGCCAACCGATACACTCCCCCTCCCCCGCCCTCCCCGCCCTCCCGATCCCTCTCCAGAGCAGCCGACACAGGGCTGGCGCGTGCCGCGAGTCCCAACGACTCGGAACGGCCGCCGACACTGCCCGAGTGTTCTGCCCCGACGGTGGCGGTGGGTGTTTAACCGCAGCTCGTACACGCTCCCCCGCCCCTTCCCTCACCTGGGCCCTGCGCGGGGGACGCTGACGCTACACACCGCCGCCGCGGGACTAGACGAGCCAAGTTTGAGCGCATGGGAATGTACTACCGTCTGGCTCACACGGAGTTCGCGGCGCTCAACTCCGCATCGACGGCAGACATGTGGACCAAGTTGGTGTCAGAGCTGCGAGACATGACCCAATGGACCTGGCTGAGGAATTAGGCTGGGCTGATGCTCTCGCCTGTTCAAATATTACCTGGCTTGGCATTAGTCGAGCTCAATGTTCGAATAATGCTTTATGCGACTTGACATGAGCCAACGTAACCTGTCCTGATCTTAGTGACTTGCCGTGACCTGAGCTGACCTTAGCTGCTCTGACCTGACACCTTAGCTGATCTGATGTGACCCGACCTGACCTAACCTGTTATTGCGTGCCGTGTTTCAGCTCGCAGCGATGCGGACGGCGACGGTCGCGGTTACCGGTCCGACGTGGAGCAGACCCGCGACCTGGTGCGGTCGGTCCGTCGGGAGGCCGCCAAACTGGGCGACAAGTGGGCAGAGCTGCGCCAGCAGGCCGACGCCGCGCGGCGCAAGATCGACGCCACACTGGTGGTGAGTACCGCGCGGCGTACGATAGTCCTCCCACGGGGAGATCATACTTGCACCAGTTGTGCTGACCTTACTGTGCTGGCTTCATCGTCTGCGTTCGCTGTGCATACTTCACTGTCCGTTTTCCTAATGTCTGTTACAAATATCCGACATCTATGTTTCCTCCGTCAACGTCTCGTTGTATTAACTCTGCTATTCGTGTCCTGTAAGCCACTCTCTTCCTGTATTCCGTTGTGCTTGCTCCTCTACCCGTGTCCCCCTGTCCCGTGTCCCTTTTCGTTGCTGTCCGCTGTGTCGGCTCTGTCGCCGCCCCTGTCCGTGTCCCCGCTGTCCGCTGTGCTGTCTCCTCTGTCCGCTGCGCTCGCTGTCCGCTGTGCCAGCTCTACCTGTCGCCGCCTCCGTCTGTTGCCGGTGTCGCCGCTCCGCTCCGCTCTGCCACGGTTTATGAGCGCGCCGGAGGCGGCTACTGGCGGCGACCCGCCGCTCTGCGGTCGATGGACCCGGCCCGGCGCCACTGTCCGTGTACTGTCCCCACCGGGAGACACACCTGTGGCTCGTGAGACCCGGCCGCAGACGGCGCCGGACTGTCTCATACTCTCAGACCGTCTAGACGGAGCGGCTGATTGGCTCATTAACTGATTAATTCGATTGGCGTCTGATGGCTGACCGGGCGCCACGTCGGGAAGGGAGAGTGAGTGAGACAGTGATGGACGGAGCCTAAGTGAGACGGCTAGATTAGAGTTGCAGCTCTCTGCCTTCTCTCGTCCCCTCTTTTCTCTACCGTCTACCGATCCTCGGAGGTCTCCTGATGCGGTGGGCCAAGAAGGTCCGTCTCAGTTGGGTAGCAGCCACAGCGCCCCCTATGCCATGCCAAGCCTGCGCAACGAGCCACCCGCCGGCAGACCCAGCAGCGGGATGTGCACCTGATGTTTCTACGCTCTAGGGATAATCCGAGCGACACTGGCACTTGGCAGGCTATCTAAGCGAGATGTTTCAGTCGGCTGTGTGTCTGTGGTGGTGGTGGTGGTGTGTGTGAGGGGGATGGGGTATTTAGGGGGGGGGGGCAAGTCGGCACATTTAATGACCTACTGGGTCAGCCCTACCACCCCCGAGTACCGACACGATGAACCGGCGCCGCGGCAGGCCGGCAGCGCGGAGACTGATCACCGACGCCCGTCTCCTTGACGTGATGAATGCCACCGCTGCAATTTACACGGTCCGCGCTCGGATATGGTGGGGAAATGAATGTCCGCTGACCGGCCTCCGCCCTCCGAGCGGCGGCTCCTCACCGAACCGTCGGCGCTCACCCTCCGACGGGACGCGAATTTCTCACCAGCTATGATCCGAGCCGTCCGACCGACACTGATTTCACCTTTACGATCGGAGAATATGTGGCCGAGGCTTTATCCGTATTGCCCAGTTCGGCGCGGTTTAGTGGGCATAAAAGGGCCCGGCCATGTCGGTCTGAAAAGATTCTGTCGTGGCGGGTCGTCGGCGGCCATCAGGCCGACTGTCCAAGTGTATCCCCGGGGTCGGTTCGCTTGTCGGCTGATCGCTCGTGCTCCGCGATAGGCCGGCTCGATACTGGATTTTCGGGCCGATTCGGAGTCGTCGTGGGGAGGCCGGCGGCCACGGAACCATTGGCTCAAGGAGGGCTGAATTCGGACGGCAGATCTTCATTGGGATAACTCGGCTGGTTCTGCTGGTTGGCCGGCGCGGCTGACGTAAGACAGAGGGTTAAAGAGGGAGAGTGGAGAGGAAGGGGCTGCTGGAGCAGAATGGAGCGGAGGGGAACTGTGTAGTTGGACTCCCTGACAGTCATCACTGCGCCCGTCTCGGCGTGTGTGTCCCTGCCGCTGAGCTCCGGAACTGCGGAGCTGTGGCAGCTCTGGGCTGCGGCTTGTTCCGCAGCAGCTCACAGCGCTACTCGGCTGGATATCCACCGGAGAATAATGGCGCGACGCGCCGGATTTGGCGCCAACTCGACCCAGTCTGCCCGAGGGCACTCGTCAGTTAACCGTCATATCTGGGGCTTAACTTCGCGGCGGCTCAGCCGTACGGTCATTTCATTAAATCTGGCCGTCCGCGCCGTGCCGCCTGGTTCGGTAAGCAGCAGCCGAAACACGAGTGAAACATGAATCCTACCAGATTACGCGGCTTCTTTGAAATCTGGAGGATGAAACAAAAATGCCGAGGACTGGGGTACTTTATGAGCCCGTGCGTATTGGTTTGTTGGCCAGCGCTGCAGAGGTGTTCCCCGAGATGAAAGGGTCATCGGGTGCCACAGGTCAGGAAGAAGCCGTCACTCGCTAGAACGAAACGGCTTTGAATGAATTGTTCTGTGTAACATTTAAAATTATGCCTGTTGAACATGGCGATGACAACACTGGTTGGCGATTTCTCGGTAGTAAGTCATCCGTCGATAAAAAATTGAACCAGGAGACCTGGTCCTGATCATACTCGCAACCTGTACAGTGTACAGGACCAGTATGCATAATGCCGTATTTATGCCTCAAGTAAGTGCCTCAAGTAAATATGGATTGTGCTACTCAACTGTGACGGATGTCAGACATTATAGTAAACGACCCACTGAACGAGCCGTTGGTCTATTGTTCTGCGTTGAGATGCAGCAAAACAGCGATCAGCGATGACTGACAGCAGTGGTCGAACGCCAGATGATAATCGAACCGCATAGCGACTCTGAGATGTGATTTATGACGCCCTAAACATGTAGTAGCCCATGGTGAAGTTTTACGACATTGGGAGATATTCAGAGATTTTGGGGTCGTCCTATAAGTCTCAGTGTTGTGCGCTATGGATCCCGTAAGATCGCATGTAACAGGTCGGTTCGAGTTGAATTGATTGATGTTGGACAGCGCCCTTGAGCGTGGCCATAGCTCACCCAAAGGCGGACGTGTGTCCGTGTGTTCCCTGCACACCGGTGGGGACACGCGGCTGTTACAGACGCGGGCCGGGGCTTGGGAAGGGGTGCAATGGCTGGCCAATCACGACCCAGGTCAGGTTGGCCCGGCAGTATTTACTGGAGCGTTTTATGCCGCTGAGCAGTGGCACAGAGCGTGTGAGAGGCATGTCTGACCTGACCTGAGGAGCTGGGTAGTCACAGCCCTCGACCCGGCTGAGCCGGTCGGTCGTTCGGACTCCGTGCACCGGGCGGCGCGGTGTCCGGCGGCCGATACCGCTCTGCACGGCCCGTGTCCGCCGTATATGGACGGCCGGCCGGTGACGGGCCGGCGCCGCTCCGTACGGGCGCTGGCGTATCGCCCGGCACCGACGCCACGCGCCAAGGCCGCTACCGCCACCGCCACCGCCGCCACGCCGCAGCCTTTCCTGCTGGGTTCTGATGAGTTCGGCAGCGGGGGGGGGGGGCGACCTTGACCTCGCTGCGGCGAAGGAGCGTCCTTCCCCTCCGCCGGGTGTCGGTCCGTAGCACCCTGTTCGTGTCACTCAGCGTCGGCCGCTGCGGGTCGCTGCTCACCTGCAGTCCGCAGTCGGAGCTCTGCAAACGGCAGTATATACCACCCACGCAGGGTCACTGGTCAGCTCCACCGTCTGCCTGTCTGCCTGTCTGTCTGTTTGTCTGTCTGTCTGTCTGTCTGTCTGTCTGCCTGCCTGTCCGTGTTGCTGGCACAGTGGATGGCGCAGCGCCCTGCAAGCTCGGGTTGCATGTGTGGGGTTGATATGGGATAATGTGGCTATGGCTCAAGTAGGTGAGGCTGGTGTTACTAAGTAGGTGTGAATTTATAGTAGTTTTGGCGAGGCCGGTACCGATGCTGGCGAGTTTGTGGTTTGTGTGGGCGGGTCCGGCTCGTTGCGGGCGGGTTCCGAACCGGTAACCAGGTGCAATTCCCGATAACACCGAGATGGCGAGATGCTGTAAGTGGCGGCTCGCGCTGCCGGCCGAGCTGCGCCCCGCCGCGTCCCGACCCGGCGCGCAGCGGCGACGGTCCGCGCCTGGCCGCCGTTTTTTGTCGCGCCGCACCACTTTATGTGTGTGTTGTCGTGGAGCGCTCAGCGGGTGACCTCTGTGATCCAGTCACGCCCCCGGCGCGGGTCATCGGCCTTCCCCGTCAGGAGGTGCGCATAGAGCAGTCAGGGCACCTGACGAAAGGCCCACGTTGTCCGATGTCCACAACAAGATGGGTCACATGATACAACAGGCGCTACCAACTTTTTCTAGTTGATTCCCTGCATTGGATTACTCCTCGGCAAGCTTTTTCGTACCTTCAGAAAAAAATGGCTGCCTGGTTATAGTGAATCCCAGGTCACCTGATGGCTGGACGAGGTCACCTGACAGCTGGACAAGGTTACCTTGCGCCCAGGCCAGGTCATTCGAAGAACTGGGTCATATTTCGGTCCAGTGGTGAACTGTAGAAGCTCGGAGGACAAGTAGTGAAGTAATCTTGGGTGGATCACGCCCCGCTATCTGTCTGGCGCGGCGGGGCGCGGCAGCTGAGGCGGCCCAGGGAAGAGAGAGCGCGCGCCGTAGATAGGATCGGCGGCGCGCCGCCGGCGGCTACACGCACAAACAGTGTCCAGGGGCGCCCACCTGGCCGGCCGGCCGGCCGCAGTCGACCGCCGGCCGCGACACGGGCCGGCCGCACCTGCGAGACGACGCCGCCGGACAGTGAAAGTGCGCGCGGAGGTCGGGGCGGCGGCTGACCGGCGGTGACCTGAGGTGGTGACCTGTCCGAGTGCTCAGTGGTGACCCGGTGTGAGGGCGGGCTGCCGGCGACGGCGCCATGTGACCCGCCATGGAGGTGTCGGTGGAGGTTCGTCCGGCGCGGCCTGCGACCTTGGCCGTGGCGCCGCGGCTGGTTCTGCCGCCGCCGCCGGCGCCGGCCGCGGCTGCCAGCAGCTCGGAGCGCGGCCCGGCCGGCCGGCGCTCGCCGCTGCGGCTGGCTGAGCTCGGATCGCCGCACTCTCCGGCGGCCGGCTCGTCGCTGCTGGTGTTCGGCTGGTCGGCCGAGTCGCCGCCGCCTGGTCGCAGCCCGCTCGGCCCGGCGGCCACGCTGGTCGCCCTCAGCTCGGTGGACGGCTATGCCGAGCTGGCGGCTCCGGACGGCCGGCCGCCCCGCTCCCCGCTGCTGCTGACGCTCCGCCGACGGACGCGCCGCTCACCCGAGGCTCAGACGCCGCCGGCACCGCCGCCTTCCACCGGGGAGGCCTCGCCAGCTCCTGTCCCCCGGCAGCATGCCGTGTGCCAGCCGTCGCCGCCGGTCCGGCGCGGCGCCAGCGCGACCTCCAGAGAGAGGGACGCCGATACCTTCTGGGTGCGAGAGGTGGGCTCACTGACAGCGCGCCGGTCCCGCGGGACAGCCCCCGCGTGCGGTGTCGGCCGCAGAGTGGTCGGGTTGGTGTGGCGTCCTCTAGGGATGCGCTGGTTTCAGGTGTCGGCGTTTCAGCGTGCGGCAGTTGGCAGGGACGGGGTTGGATCCACAGGTGAACTTGCCGAAGCATTGCACGGTCCAAATGAAAACAAACTCTTTTAGCTTCTCACATCTCAAATGCATGAATCCAACAGCTGCCTGAAACGCAACACATAAACATCCACCATCACCAACATTTTGGTGCAACATCTGGTCTTCCAGCTTCCCTCTGGACGATAGTCAATCGTTCGGTCACAATCAAGAGCATTAAAATACGCGAGGAGCGCTCATTAGTTAGCCCAACCCACATAGATTATGCAGAATCCATGAGTTTTTCATGAACCTACGTTGCGGTGTCATGTCGAACCCAGTAAGTGATAAGTATGGTAAAATTCTCGGAATCCAGACATACCTACCAATACTTATGCATGTGATACCATGTCAACTGGAATTACCCAGGCCGTTTTCTTTGAAAACGTTTCCACTCAAATGAAGTCTTTCTAAATTACGGAGTGCTGAGACAGGTAGACCGCTAACGCAAGAGAGGAAAGTTGGCGCCCCCTCTATTCGTTCCCTGTGACTGTCCGCCTCTCTTCGTCTCCTGTGCCCCCTTTGTCCGTCTCCTGTGCCCCATTTGTCTGTCTTCTGCCCCCCTGTCCGTCTCCTGTGCCCCTTCTTTCCGTTCCCTGTGCCCCCATCTCGATCCGTCCCCGGTGGCCGCCGTTCCGCTTCGTCAGTGTCCGGCCCGCGCTGATCCTCCGCTGATCCGTGCAGCCACCGTGTTGACTCTGCGCCCGTTAGCAGCTCGGTCCGGCACCCGGAGCCTCGGTGACCGGCCATCAAGGAGCCTCGGTGACCGGCCATCACGGAGCCATTAAGTTGCCGCTCTCAGGCTGGTGGTCCGTCGACGGCCGGCATCACTGGTGGGCTGCTCACGGCCGGATTAGTGCCGCTGATCGCGCCCGATGGCCAGTTAACTAATGGCCAATGACTTACGGCTGATTGACGAGGATCGCGCCGGCCAATGCCACTTACGTCGGGCGCTCGCCACGGTCCGGGCAGTGATGATCTTGTTCGGACTCCCGGTGGTCTAAACTGTTTTGGTTCCTGCGTTGTGCGGTAAGGGCCCGTGGTGGACATGCCACAGCGACCCACGGACCGTCTGTGGAGAGATGTGAGCTGCGATGTCCCCAGCGCGGCGGCTGGAACTTTCGGCATGTTGTCCGCGCCGCACGCTGCGGATTGGGAGGCGATGACCTGATTGCCAGGTGGACTATGCAGAGGTTCGCGGGTGAAGAAACTAAACAGCCAGGTCAGGAGGAGCCCTACGGTTGGCCGTGATCTGTCTAGAACTGGAAGCCCACCGCCTGTGGCCGTATTCACAATCACGGGCTAAGGGTAGGGGTAGGAGTAACGGGTAACGAGTTATTTTTGTGGCCGTATCTACAATTGAAGTTTACCCCTGATGGTCGCCCGGCGCTACGCAGACGGCACGTGGCCTGCGTAGTGACCTTGCAGAATGACGAAAAGTCGCGACTGATCGTGATCGGACAGATGACCAAGGTGTGGCCAAGCTGTGAGATCTGAGCCCGGGGCCGTGTCGTCCTCGCCCTGTGGTGTGGCGTCGAAATGGCTAGCTAACTACGGTTTAGCTGATGGAAACGACCAGTGAAAGCGTGAGAAGAGGATGCTGCTAAACATCCCGGCGTCTGTATACACTCAGTCGTGGGTGAAGCGGTGGTCACCAGAGGAGCGGAGTGGGGCCCACAGGTGCCGCCGGGACCGGCAGGCCGACCGACCAGGGAACGCTGGCCATTGGCCAACTGACAAGTGACGGCTGAGGCACTCCGCTGTCCGCTGACTCGTGTGACCACCTGTTCGTCTGTCCGCCCGTGCATCCTCTCCATTTTCGTTTATTTGCTTCCCAGATGCATACTGATGCATGGAATTCGTTTAACGTGGGCTGGAAGTGAAAACCACCAAGGGATCTCAATCTGAGTCCATTTCCCTTTGTACACCATAGTCCATGCCTGTCGGACGTTCCATGTCCCTGAATCTGTTCCTCCGGCAGTATGTTTCTGTATGTACGGCCGTCTGTTGTGACCATTTGTACAGGTATGTATGGTTATCAATAACTACTTGGTATTCCGTTTATCCACTCCCGTACAGCCGTGTTTTGTCCGTGTCTTTCCGTGCTGCGATGCACGGGCGGCGGCTGCTGGTCGGCCGGTCCGCCCGACACCTAATTATGCAGCGCGCCATCGGAGGCGGCCGGCCGTGCTGAGAGCTCTCCCATTTGGACCAGTCATCTGCGCCGCTGCCGGCCCACACAATCCGGCCCTATGTTACACACGAGAAATGAGAGGCTCCCGACCGACCTCGCCGGCTGCCCGGCCCCGACAGATCAAATGCCGACTCATTTGTAGTCGGCGGAGGGGAGGAAGGGAGGGAGGGCCGCGCTGTCCCGCTCCTCCAGGGCCGCCGTGAGGACGGACGGCTGCGGCAGCTCCCGACGCACATTGTCAGCGCGGCCCTCAGCCCGGCGCCTCTCCACTCGACTTTGTTTCTTCCGCAGCGAGCCGGCGAGCTCCGGTAGTTTTCTGTTGTTTGGCTGCGAGGAGTGCGGGCGGTATGGAGACTAACAATGCCCGGCCAAGTTAGATCCGGCGTTTTCTCTCCACCGTCGTCATTTGTTGGCGCCGCGTCAATCTGTTGGTGCGGTATAATGCCGACGACGAGGAGAGTTCGTCTCCCGGCTGTATCGCGTTTGATGATCTGGGATTGGGTGCGGCTCGATGCGGTCTTCGACTGTCTGGGTTGTCCGCGGCGTTGGCATGGACTCGCCGGGGGGCGACGTTACCAGAAGACGCAGGACCGATCGCCGAAGCTATTTCACCTGGAACTATCGACTGAAAGTCAACGCGATACAATATCGTATAACATTGCACATTGCATAACAATGTGCACATCGCCTGGTCTTCATCTGGCCAAGACGCCAAAATCTGCACTGAATTGGTCAGCTCAACCTATGCTTCCTCGACTGTACGTATTATGTAGCCTATCTGCATGTGATGTTTGCAACACATTAATTTCATTGCAAGAGTGATTTGTGAATCACCTTGTTTACTGGGTTCTTGCCTGGGGGCCCATCCGCGGTGGGCGGATCTGACGTCGGTGCTACTGGCGACCACCTACCGACCCGGGCTACTGCCAGCGCGGAGATCCGGGCGGCCGGCTGCGGCCGGCTCACGGCGCGGCTTACGGCGGCCGTCAGCGGTCAGTTTACGAGCGCGCCGTCGTGATGAGGTGGCCAGACGGCGCTATACGACGGCCGCGCCGGACCCACTCACACCCACGGCGCGGACGGTAGACAGAGTGACCTGCCGCGCTGGACACGGGAGCGACCCTGCTACACGGCACGGGCTGTAGACGGAGTGACCTGGCACAGGTCGCGAGTTGACCCTGTCACACGGCGCGGAGTGACCTGACACACGGCGCGGGCTGGCCTCGCTACATCGCAAGGGAGCGAATCTACTATACGACACGGGCTGTGGACAGATCAACCCTGTGCACACGGCTCGGGCCGACAGTCCATGCCCCGCTACATGGCACGGATTGAGCTGGCTCCAGGGCACGGGATGACCTGTCATGGGTTGACGGCACCGATTGCCCGAGCTGAGCAGCCACAGCCACCAGACCAAATATCGCCGGAGCCGGGTGGCACCACAACTTTGAACATCATGCAGAGTGGCATGGCAACACTGATTTTGATGGACGGGACCTACCATATCCTTGATGGGCTAACTTCACGGACATCCATCCAACCTACATACAACCAAATGACTGGCACCCTAGCAGCAATATGCAGCGGGAGAATGCCGGTTGCATCTAGGTTAGCTCCAAATATCATGCCGGCTGTTCTGGCAATTCGCAAAAAAAGGTTCGGGAAATAGGTTACATCATTAATGAATAGATAGATTACAGAATCAATGGAATCCAATTTAGTGAGCCCTATGGCTACGCTTACTTACCGTATTTAGGAAACCAGCATACAGATAATCGCGAGCACCCCTCTGTGACCTGACCTGACCTGACCTTGTACAAGGTGTATGAGTTATTTTACTGTCACTATCGGTGCCGCTGTGCGTTTGCCTCTTGCTGCACGCCTCCGGCCGCTGTTAGTGCGCCCGTACTCGGGTTTTCGGAGGCGCGCTCCCCCAGCGGGCGGGGCTGGCGGCGTCAAGTCACTCTCGGCTGAGCCATTGCTCCAATTACACCCAATTGGATAACAGGAGCGGCTGAGACGACCGGCGGCGCGCGCTCCGTCTCTGCTCGGCTCGACAGGACGACACCGTCGACCCGCCGACCCGCCCCCGCCCCGCCCCGGCCCGCCCCGGCCCGGGAGTGTCTCTAAGGCCGTCCTCACAGGGGCCTCCGCTCGGCCCGGAGCCGGCCGCTCTGAGCCGCTCCTCTCAGCTCTGACATCCTCTCTCCGTGTTCCCCACAGAAGATGCACGTGCTGGAGAAGTGTATGAACGACGTGGAGGAGCGTGTGTGTGCGGCGGAGGCGGCGCGGGGCAGCTGGAGCGACGACGGCGTCACCACGGACGGCGACGTGACGCAGTACAAGCAGATCAGCAGCCAGCTGGTGGGCGCCCAGCGCGGCCTGGACGATATCAACGACCAGGCGGCACGGCTGGCCGCCAACAGGTCAGTTACATCGCAGTCAGACCTGCAGCTGGTCAGTCAGAGCAGCTGTCTGAATCGTTGACGACGATATTCCGATATTCGTTCATTCAGCTGTGTCATGATTATTTGCCAGTGAAACGGAAGGATCTGAACAAAATTTAAGTTGTGTTGTGGTTCCAAATCATGTGGTTTCTCGGAGTCACGTCTGACGATGTGTGTCGTCCATCATGTATGAGAACTAGAGATGTCAATCGGATACCAACTTTTTTGTATACCGATACCAAACCGATACCAACTTGGTATTTGGTATTTCAATCGTAATGTGTTTGGTATTTTGTTGGTATCATAAGCCCTCACTTATGTATAAGAGGCCAAGAAATCAGTAAAAAGTTGGTATTTCCCTCAGTTTCCCAAGTTGGTTTGGTTTCGGTATTTTCCCGTGGTTTTGGTTGGTATTTGGTTTGGTATCGGTATTCCGATTTTCCGTAATTGACATCACTAATGAGAACTGACCTGTGATCTGGGACCACATACCCTCTGACTCCCAGCTTCCCTCTGACCGCCATCCCTCCCTCCCGTTCCTCAGCGTGCCGCTGAACTCTGCGCAGCTGTCGCGGCTCGAGTCGCTGAACGGCCGCATGAAGTCGCTGACGGCGGCGATGGACGAGCGGTACCGGCAGGTGGCCGGTGGCCGTCCGCCGGCGCCGCACGCCGCCGACGGCTTCCTGGGCCGCTCCGTGGAGCCGCCGTGGGAGCGCGGCACGGCCGCCAACCACGTGCCTTACTACATGAACCACAGCACGCAGCGCACCCAGTGGGACCACCCGGCGCTGGCCGAGCTGATGCACGGCATGGCCCAGCTCAACACGGTCCGCTTCTCGGCCTACCGCACCTCGCTGAAACTGCGCCGGCTGCAGCGGCGGCTGGCGCTGCACCACCTGCCTCTGGCGCACGCTGTGGAAGCGTTCGACGGACACGGTCTGCGCGCCCAGAACGACAAGCTGATCGACGTGCCGGACATGCTGACCGTGCTGGCCACGCTGTACGAGACGATCGCGGCTGAGAGCAACGACCAGGTGGACATGCCGGTGTGCCTGGATCTCTGCCTCAACTGGCTGCTCAACGTCTACGACAGGTGAGCGGCAGGCGGGCTACCCGGGCGCACTCAGCCGGCCCTTTTACTGGGCTGTCCCGCCCTCCAAACAGCCCGCTGTAGTATGTCGACCCCGCCCCTCACCACTCACTGAGGCCCGCCGCGGCCGCGCCGGGCGGCGCCGCTCTCTATATTCAATGAGCGGCGCGGAGAGAGGTGCGTGAGGCGGCCAGGGTGGGACTGGGACGGCAGGCGTCCCGCCGCGCCGCCGCTGTAAAACTCTGTTACACGGGAGGTGCGCGGGCTGTTTACATATTCGGGACTTATAGACTGGGGCTCAGGAGGAGACGCGGTGGTGTGGGTTATCAATATGCGGTATGGAGACTGACTACATTGATAATGAATGAGCGCTTGAACTGGCTGGTTTGCCTCTCGTGTCACTGTATGTTGAAATAACTAGGTTTCGAGGAGAGATATTGTGTTACTTCTGAAAGGTTGACGATATTCTGCTGTTGTTTCCGCTCGGCCTTTTCCTGGCTGGTTAGTTAACAAACCGTTATATAACAGTCTGTTGAAATGCATCCATGATTCATATAGGGAAAACCGTTAACAAGCACAGCAGCTACATGTGTTCGGGGTTATTGTTCGCTTTTTCTTGATGTCCATTAGTGCGACATTTATGACTAAAGGCGGCCGCACACTGGGCCATTCGGCGGGCGAGATTCCGCAAAAGCGGAATGTCGCGGGCGACATTCCTACAGCGGCTTTCCGCTTGTTTTCAGCAGTTTACAGGACCATTCGGCGGTGCGATTTTCTACTTAGTATTTTCAGGAACTTTATGTGAAACATTTTATGATTAATATAAACGAATGAAAACTAAATACATTTAAGCAAATACAATATTTGCTTATTTAATGCGATTATGCTATATTTCTGTACAATAAAGTTTTGAATATCTATTAATTTGACATAATTTCTGGAGGAAGTTGCAAAAAAATAAAGCTCGTGATTAATGTAAACAACCATGTTTGTCGACAAATGCAAGAAACCTAAAGACAATTGTGGAGAGGCACATAGTAACCCATTATTGGAATAACCAATGAAGTGTATAAAAACCATTAAATATGGGGAAAGAAGTGCCGCTACGATTTTTTATCAAGTGAAGTCTATTTCTCGGCTGCTCCATCAATAATTGGTGAGTTTCAAGTTCCACAATTTCGGGTGTCCGCGGCGTCGCCGCGGAAAAAGCTGAACCGGTCCAGCTTTTTCCGCAACTCCGCGGCTGTTCGCGAGCATGCGCACTCTACCCGCGGACAGCTAGCTGGCAGCGGTCGGCTGATAATTTTGTCGTTTCGGCAGCTGATTCGGCGTCCACGAAAGCGTAATGTCTTTTAATTCTTGTAGTGCTCTTTGTATGTAAGGCATGTAGGTGATTGGTAAATTCCTTTTTAATGACCTCCTTACAAATTATTTATGTTTTTGATGTATTTAGCTTGATACAAATTTTCGGCCACGGGCCTTGATCACATATCAGTTTAAACACAGACACGAAAAACACACAGACACCAATGCAGTTACAGTTTTGCCAGTTTTTTTTTCTTTCAGTTTCTGTACAACTTCGCGTGATAAAAAAGCACAATATACCTACAGTTCTAAGGAATATGTTAGATGGGCCCAATAAAAACGATCATAGACAACCTAATAGGTCAAAAATTAACTTTAAATTCGTTTTCGTATTCGATTCATTCATCTACTTTTCAACGTTCACTCATGTACATGCACATAAAACCCGATAACTACATAATGTACCACGATGATACATTTCGATTCAGTTGCGGCTTTAGCTTTCGGATTTGTAGCGACTCACTTATCTTTCGGTGTGGATGGTCGCCGGTTTTTTGAATGATTTCCACCGTTAGAGGAATTTCACCCCTTTGAAGTTCTAATTCTCTGTGAGCCGATCTAAAGTGATCACCAATGGGTGTGTCTCGGGTCTTGTTCTTGGCGCTTACGACATGCTCATTAAAACGTAGCCTAATAGGCCGTTTTGTCTCGCCCACATATGTTACTTCTTCTCCACCTTTCTGGCAGACGCTACATGTGATTCTATACACTACACCTGCGGTTAGGCACTTCCCTTTCAATCCCGACTCACAAGTATTGCAAACTCGCGACCCTGCTGGGCACTTGGGATGGGAGAGGGCAGAACGTGTGAGGCGGCTTTTCAATGTGTTCTTGCTTTGCCAGGCTACTCGCAAGTTTAAATCAGTTTTTCTCACGATGGCATTGACTTTGGCACAGACGGTCTCGTCGATATATGGTAGAGTCAGGTACCCGTCTAGCTGCTGTACTTGCTGCTTTTTGTGGTGCCGGTGCTCTCCATTTGTCGTCGGATGTGTCTCTGCTCGGGTAGCCTCTCGTTGCAGCCTCCGCAAGGAGAGCCAGAAACAAGACACAACAGAGGAAGATTCAAACCGAACTTCCCAGATGCAGTGAAGAAACAACCTCCGCCTTCCAACAGTAACACAGAACAAGAGCTAAAAGCACTCAAGAAGAAGATATTGAACACGTACAAGAATCATGCCCAGACTACGATGAACACGACAGCAGAAGAGAGAAGAGGACTGAAGGAGTTGCAAGCCAATGAGAACATAATAGTGAAGCCTAGCGACAAGTGTAAGGGACTGGTGATACTGGACAAGGACTCATACGTAGAGAAGGCGCACGCTATCTTAGATGACGAAACGAACTACGATAAACTTTCGAACAACCCTACAGCCAAAATCGAAGCGAAAACGAAGCAGCTGTTCAAGCAAACGAGTAGAGATAAGCTCCCCGAGAAACTAATCAAAGATCTGACACCGACGAACTCCAGAACACCAGTATTTTATGGACTTCCGAAGAACCATAAAAACGGAGTTCCCCTAAGGCCGATCGTCTCAGCATGTGGTGGACCAACCGAGAAAACGTCCTGGTTATTGGAGAGGATCCTGAACCAGCTGTTGGAAAAGGTTCCAGCACACCTCAGAAACACGGGTGAATACCTGAAACGACTGGGCGACAAGTTTCCGGGACATCAGCTGCCCCCAGGTGCTATAGTATTTAGCATCGATGTCGTTAATCTCTATGGCAGCATCCCTCTAGACGAAGCCGTGTCAGCAGTTGCCGATATGATAGACGAACACCGAGCCGAAATCGACCTGTGTGGACTAGAACCAGATGACGTCACCCGCCTTCTCACCCACTGCCTCGAAAACAATGTATTCGAATTCGACAACGAGTTCTACAGACAGCGAGTCGGCATCGCCATGGGCAACAAGGTGGCACCCCCAGTAGCCATCATATTCATGCACAAATTCGAAACGCGTGCACTGGACAATGCAGTGCTGAAACCAGAATTCTACTCGAGGTATATTGATGACTCCATTGGAGTCTGGACTCACGGACGGGACGAGCTGAACAAGTTCCTCGAGTACCTCAACTCCATCCACCCGAGAATCAAGTTCACTCTGGAAGATAGCAGTAAGTCTGGAAACGTACCGTTTCTGGACACTCTCATCACTGTGAACTCAAATTCCAAGTACCAAACAGAGCTATATATAAAGCCAAATCACTCCGGGATCATCATCCATCAAACATCATCACATCCCATGAAGACCAAGCAGGCAGTGATACGAGCCGAGTTTCGACGCGCCATCAGACTGTCGTCAGATGCAGCGGCACGTGCTCGCTCCTGCCAGAAGATACAGCAGCTATTCGAAGAAAACGGCTACAGAAAACAGTTGGTGCGGAGGCTGCAACGAGAGGCTACCCGAGCAGAGACACATCCGACGACAAATGGAGAGCACCGGCACCACAAAAAGCAGCAAGTACAGCAGCTAGACGGGTACCTGACTCTACCATATATCGACGAGACCGTCTGTGCCAAAGTCAATGCCATCGTGAGAAAAACTGATTTAAACTTGCGAGTAGCCTGGCAAAGCAAGAACACATTGAAAAGCCGCCTCACACGTTCTGCCCTCTCCCATCCCAAGTGCCCAGCAGGGTCGCGAGTTTGCAATACTTGTGAGTCGGGATTGAAAGGGAAGTGCCTAACCGCAGGTGTAGTGTATAGAATCACATGTAGCGTCTGCCAGAAAGGTGGAGAAGAAGTAACATATGTGGGCGAGACAAAACGGCCTATTAGGCTACGTTTTAATGAGCATGTCGTAAGCGCCAAGAACAAGACCCGAGACACACCCATTGGTGATCACTTTAGATCGGCTCACAGAGAATTAGAACTTCAAAGGGGTGAAATTCCTCTAACGGTGGAAATCATTCAAAAAACCGGCGACCATCCACACCGAAAGATAAGTGAGTCGCTACAAATCCGAAAGCTAAAGCCGCAACTGAATCGAAATGTATCATCGTGGTACATTATGTAGTTATCGGGTTTTATGTGCATGTACATGAGTGAACGTTGAAAAGTAGATGAATGAATCGAATACGAAAACGAATTTAAAGTTAATTTTTGACCTATTAGGTTGTCTATGATCGTTTTTATTGGGCCCATCTAACATATTCCTTAGAACTGTAGGTATATTGTGCTTTTTTATCACGCGAAGTTGTACAGAAACTGAAAGAAAAAAAACTGGCAAAACTGTAACTGCATTGGTGTCTGTGTGTTTTTCGTGTCTGTGTTTAAACTGATATGTGATCAAGGCCCGTGGCCGAAAATTTGTATCAAGCTAAATACATCAAAAACATAAATAATTTGTAAGGAGGTCATTAAAAAGGAATTTACCAAAGCGTAATGTCGCCACGGAATTGCGTTTTTGCGGAATGTCGCCCGCCGAATGGCCTAGTGTGCGGCCGCCTTAAGTGTTTTTTTTTTTTTTTACGCAAAACAAGTTGTGGTTTGAAGTTTCTTTTTAATAACCCGCGCCCTGCTGGGGCGCGGGTGTTTGAACACCCCCCCTTGTGGTTTTTCGCGAATATCTCAAAAACGGCGGCGCGGAGCGCCGCCGTTTTTGATACACCTTATCATACATCAATTCTACACATGTGAAAATTTCAGACCAAGGTCATTCAAGGTCAGGTCACCAGGTCACTTGAAGTGACCTCACCTCATAAAAAGTTTCAATGTCTGTCATAGCTACACCGAGTGACCGATCGCTTTGAAACTTTCAGCGATTGCTAAGAGCAATAGCATGTACAAAATGTATATCCCAGAATTTTGATATCGATGACCTAAGGTCAGGTCAATTTTGCGACCTCCCCATTATAAGTCAATGGGAGAAAATTGAAATGCGCCTCTTTTGGACGAAAGACATTATAAACACTCCCAAACACCGAATTACAATTGTTTTAGACACACAGAACATGAAAATGGTGTCCGTGACCCTTGTTTATGCCCTGAGGTCATCTTAGGTCACGAATGGTATCTAACAGTTTTTCGCAAATAACTTTTGATAGAGGCATGCTAGAGCGATGAAAACGCCTTAGATGTGTTCAGCTCGACGATACGGATCGACTGATATGCAACACGACCCTTTCCGGTCAGGTCATGACCTTGACCTGAGGTCAAATTTTCTAGTTGACCTTTCAAGGTCAAGTTATAGTTCATTCGATGCGTCTTGACGAGAGGAACACGATGCCGGTAAAAGTAAGCTCGTACAAGGCTTGGGTCAGAAGTTATTGCAGAAAAACTGTTTCCGAAAAAATCGGCTATTTTTGCAGTTTTTGCCCCCTGCAGGCAAAACCGTTGACGTTAGGTCAAATCTGAGAGAATTACTCAGAAAGGGCGTTAATAGGGCTATCGAATGCGCTTTTCCGCGGCGCTGTAGCTTTATTGGTTCCCGAGTTATACGTTGGCTTCTTGGAAATTTTCGACATTCGACCTGGAAATCGGCGAAATTTTGCCTTCAATGACCTCTGGTGACCTGACCTTTGACCTGACCAAAAAATTAACCGAACTGATTTCGTCATTATTTTTTACGCTCTTTCGAACGCCGCCTTCCGCGTATCGCTACGTGGCCCAGGAGCCGAGTTACAAGGGGGGGGGGTGTTCAAACACCCCCCCCCCCCCCAGCAGGGCGTGGAAATCCAGGACCCCCAGCCGGGCGCGGGATAACGCCATAAAAGCTGTGTAACGGTTATGAAGTGTCGGCGTTGTCCATCGGTCATTTAACGTTATCTGTGATCTCGTGTCAGCCCATCACTGACGGCGGCCGTCGGTCCACTGACCGCCCTTGACCACTCCTGACCACTGTGCGCCCTCTTCTCACAGCCAGCGGACGGGTCAGCTGCGGGTGCTCTCGTTCAAAGTCGGTATCGTGGCGCTCTCCAAGGGTCACCTGGAGGAGAAATACCGCTGTGAGTACTGAGTCTGACTGGTGTATTTGGGGGCCAGACGGGCGTCATGTAACCTTAGTCATCCGTTCCCGGGTAAGGTTGTTCTTAGGGTAGGTAATATGAGCAATTGGTGAACAGACAGATTTACGATCGCTTTGTGATCAACTTGCCTTAGTAACCCTTTTCAACCCCGGTCTCCACTACTGATGATTGGTGGATGCCGGCTTAGACAAACGAGCCACCGGCTACATCTTGCTTATCTAACATACTGCGAGGTACTGGTCCTCTGGCTGGTGAACCGGACGTACCTTGGCGTTCCGCGATCTCGCAACGTGCAGTTGTGGTCGTCTCTGACGCTCTCTGTGTCCCTCTGCAGACATGTTCCGGTTGATCGCCGACCCGCAGCGCCAGGCCGACCAGCGCAAGCTGGGCCTGCTGCTGCACGACCTGATCCAGCTGCCGCGCCAGCTGGGCGAGGTAGCCGCGTTCGGCGGCTCCAACATCGAGCCGTCGGTGCGTAGCTGTTTCCAGCAGGCGGGCGCAGAGCGCGAGACCATCGAGGCCGTCCACCTGCTGGCTTGGCTGCGCGCCGAGCCGCAGAGCGTCGTCTGGCTGCCCGTGCTGCACCGCGTGGCCGGCGCCGAGCGCGCCCGCCACCAGGCCAAGTGCAACGTCTGCAAGGAGTACCCCATCATCGGCTTCAGGTGGGCGCCGGGTGGGGGTCGGACACGCCGGACCTGAACGTGGGTAGGACTGCTTTCTTGTTTCACTGGGCACACGGTTTTAATGCCAAACTACGATGCGGTTTAGCTGGGCGTTTAGCTAATGAATCGTCTCCCGTCCGGGATCCGGGATTACGCGCTTGGGCCGTGGAAAATAATTTTACAAATTGTCCTATTTTAATAGTCACGACGGGCATCTAGCAACCACAAGATGAGAAGGACACGACAGTGGTCAAAGCTGGTTTTGTTTTGTTTTGTTTTTGTTTTGTTGGGTTAGGCCCTTTCCGTCCAATGGGACCATTTCAGAGCCGGGAGGATGGTAGAATATAGGGGGAGACATTGGTCTGGGCAGGCACCCTAGTGAATCGCCGGGGCTGAGCCCGTCCAGAGGACAGGCCACCCAGCCCCAAGGCACTCATTGCACCCGGCTACGGGGTGCGCTCCCTCGGGAGCAGCGGTGCCGCTCCAAGGGAGCAGTCCGCATGAGATAAAGTTGCCTGTCCAGCCCGGAGGGCGTTGCGGAGTGGAGGAGAAGGATTTCTGTATCCTGAGGATAGAAGCACGGAACGGTGTCAAAGCTGGGTATCCACCTATAATTAATGCAAGCTGAACTGCATCCAGTGCTGTCAAAGCATTGTAAGAGTTGTAAGAGGTGACCTCGTTTCCAGCTCCATTCAGGTGACGAAACTCCCCTTCTCTCTTCAGGTACCGGTGTCTCAAGTGCTTCAACTTCGACATGTGCCAAGAGTGCTTCTTCACCGGGCGCGTCTCCAAGAGTCACAAGTTGACGCATCCGATGCACGAGTACTGTACAGAGGTAAGTGGCGCGCCCTACCGCCGCCCGTCTGCCCTCCCGCATCGTCGACAGTTCAGTATGCGTGAAATGGTTGCTGTTTCAGACTGCGTATTTTGACCACTGGCAGTGCCGGTCTGGAGTTTATGGGAGAGCCGTAGGCTCACTGTCCCACTGACGTAATTAACTTTGATAAGATAAATCTGGCGGTTTTTGGCCACGAGTGGTCTTCTAGCGGTCTTTATTTTCTGTACCCAATTTTTATCAATTTAGTCCCATCAACTTAGCCACCACCCCAATCATTGAATGATATATGGAGTCTGAGCGCAAGGACACGATGAGCGAAGCGTGGTGCGCACTGCGCAGGCCCTGACGTATCCGTGCATTTGGGGAATCATGTAAACAGGAAAAGCTGTAGACCAACTTGGCGTTATGATGGATACAGCCCCACGATTTCAACTGACCTATAATGAAAAACTACGACTGAAACGACTGAAAACTATCCTAATCATGAATGATCAGTGAAAAGGGAAGCGATTTTAACCGGGCTCACATCACCGAGGGTCGGCTGAGGAGACGGACAATCTCCCCAGAGGTTCATTACGTAGGGAGTTCATGTAGCATGTCTTTATTCGCCCTCTCCTCCGACAGAGCTCATCCAGTGACGACATCAAGGACTTCACCAAGTCGCTGCGTAACAAGTTCAAGTCGAAGCGCTACTTCAAGAAGCACCCGAAGCTGGGTTACCTGCCGGTGCAGACTGTGCTGGAGGTAAGAGCGGTCAACTCGCGGTGCAGTTGTTTCGTGAAATGAAGGGAGATTGCGACCTGATGATAGGTAGGACGTAATGTTTGATAGGTACATAATGGGTGACATAAGCTGCTGAGCCCTGTTACCAATGGCTACCAATTCCTTTTCACTGTGGCTCTATGGCCTGTATGTCTGTTAGTGCTCATTGTTGTGTAGCGAGATTTGTCCGGGCGTGATGTATCGGTCGCCGCGTCTAACTCCACCGTGTCTACAGGGGGACGCGCTGGAGTCGCCGACCGCTTCCCCGCAGCACCAGTCACCCGAGAGGGGCCACATGTTCAACAGCTCGCGCTTCTCCGACACCGACGTGCACAACTTCTCCACACCAGAGAGGTGAGGCTTCCTGCGGCCTGTGCTGTCACAAAAAAAAAACTATGTGCTCCCCTCTCTTGACGGAAGGAAGGGAAAATGTTAGGAGCTCTGCTCGGGGTCTATAGGGACTGGTGTAAGATGTGAGTGAGTTGTGCTGGTCTACTGCCCATGCCTGTCACGGATGTCAGCCTCAGCCCTCTGACCTCGCCTCTCCCTCCTTTTATTTCAGCGAGGACGAGCACCAACTCATCATGCAGTACTGCCACAGTCTGAACACCAGTAACGGCTGCGCGTCGGGCGGCGGCAGTGGCGGCGGCGGCGCGGCCGTGCCCTGCAGCCCCGTGCAGCTGGTACGTGAGATTGACGGCAGCCAGCGCCACCAGCTGGAGACCATGATCAGAGAGCTGGAGGACGAGAACAAGTGTCTGCAGGCCGAATACCAGCGGCTGCGCAGCGCCGGCCCGGCGCCGGCCGAGCTGCCGGCCGGGCCGCGCGACCGCGAGATGCTGACAGAGGCGCGCCTGCTGCGCCAGCACAAGGGCCGGCTGGAGACGCGCATGCAGGTGCTGGAAGAGCACAACCGCCAGCTGGAGCAGCAGCTGAGCAAGCTGCGCCGCCTGCTGGATGAGGTAGGTCGGCCGTTTGACCGGTGATTGGTCCCTCAGACAGCTCCTGCCCGGTCCTGCCTTAGCTGCCGGTGTCTGCTCATAGTTATGATTAACTTCAAAATGATATAAGATTTCTGGTTTGCATTTTTAACTAGTGTCAGCTACCATCTGCGACGTGAACGTGACGAAATTGTGCTTTATCATGATGCTTTATCATGGCTCAGCTGTTACACGTCTTGCCATGTTCAGATTGTTTCGTGAGTTACTATGCGTGCCTGTTGTCTCAATGTAATAATTGGTCTGTATGTGTCACACGTTCTGTTTGTCTGTCAGGGCGGCGGCGGCAGCGGCAGCCTCTCCCGCACCGGGACGCTGCAGACGCGCTCAGTGACGGCCTCCCAGCTGGCCACAGACTCGCCAGCGCGCGCCAACGGCGGATCACTGCCCCGGCAAGGTCAGTAGAGCGGCCGGTCGTGGCTGGATGTTGGTGACGGTGGTGACGGTGGTGGTGGTGGTGGTGGTGGTGAGGGTATTAGGACGGGGGTGGTGCTGGTTCTCTTCTATCTGCTAGTCGCTGGGCGGCTTCCTTTTATGTTGTGTGTGCCTCACACTCGTGGTGCTGGCCTTATATTGGGTCTACGTCAGGCACTTGTTCTATTTTTTTTTCTGGTTCCGCTTGGGTGCCTTATAAGCATAAGTTATTTGTGAATAGTGCATATTGGTGTAAGTTCCTCGTGTTGGTGCCGCTGCTGGTGTTGGTGCCTGGTGTTGTCTCGCTGTGCGCGGCTGCAGTGGTATGAGCGGTGCGGCGCGTTGTGACCGCAGGCTCCCAGCGCGGCGGCCACGAGCCGTCCCCGCAGCGGTTCCCGCCACCGGCTCCCGAGTACGGCGCGCGCGCCAGCCTCGAGCGCCAGGTGCGCCGGCTCTCGGTCGGCCGAGAGATGCGCGAGCTGCACGAGCTGCGCAGCTACGTGCGGCCCGACTACCCGCGGCCCGACGACCTGGCGCTGCCGACCAGCGGGAGACCGCCGCCGGCTCCCGTCTACAACCCGCTGGTGCACGCCCACCCCCGGCCCGCCGACTACGTGGGCAACCTGTTCTCATACGCAGGTAGAGCGGCGACGGCGGACGGCGGGCTGCCGGCCTCCCGGAGAGCGGCCCGGCCGGCCGGACTGCCTGTGACCCCGACCGGCCGGCCTGCCGACTGCCTGTGACATAGCCCGGCCGAGCTCCTAGACAGGCGTGCAGTGGTTTGGCTTTCGTCGTCCGTAGTTGCATCTCTCCCCGTACCATCTGGGCCCAGATGGCGCCCCCAGTGCCCTGACCCTGACGCTGAACATCGAGCATGTGCCAGATGTTAACCTACCCATACTGAAAATTTGAAGTGCTATCATGCCCTGTATATAGCTCAGCATGGTTTGATCGGTGATTGACGCGGTCGTGCCGTTTGTGTGGTGACGACGGGGAGGGGATGCTCTGTTGCGGCCTACACGTCGACTCTGAGGCGGCAGCGGAGACCGGCTGCTGTACCGCCGTCTGGCGTATGCATGCCTGTTTCAGTTCATATCTGACCGAACTGTATTGATGACTGAAGTCAGATCGATGCGGTATGCCACAAATGCCCATACTTTTGCGGCATGTTTTAGGTCTTAGAAGCACGCAATTCGGAGAGCTGCATATGGCACGCATGTTTGTACACATCGATCGTCGCGTATCTGACCGGATGTTTTATAACCCCCGATCTCAGATTTTGCATCCGTGTGATAATCTTTGATTTTGTAATGTGTGTGATCGCTGTGCATGCGTCTGGCGTACAGACGTCACCGTTTCGTGTTTGCCATTCGATCTGAATTGTGCGTTTAAAGGAACAGGGCAGATGTGTGAACTTTCGCCAAGCTAAGGGAGAAGAATTCGTCTGTTATCAGTCATTTTCCGTCTGCTCTCCGTATTTTGTTTATCAGTCATCCGTCAAGCAGCCGCCGTGGGGCCCATAACAGACCATTGCACTCCATCAGTGGTGTAAGGTGACGCTGCTCTGGTAACCTCTCTAACCGTTGTCTTCTATTCCGCAGGAGACCTGGGTAAAGCAGTCGGCGAGTTGGTCAACGTGATGACCGACGAAGAGCCATCTCCCGAGGAGCGACCAAAGCAGTAGTGTCGGCTGCTGCCGCCGAGTGGCGCTGTCGGCCGCGGCCGACGCATGTTGTTGGACTGTTACTAATCTTTGGTGTCCTCTTATGTGCAAACTTTGATACGATGAAGTGTTGAGGCGTCATGTGGCATATCACGTACAATATCACAGCTAAACTTGCTTCCAATCACCACATATCGCGGCCATGCGCGCTGTGCCGGGCGGGTTCGCCGGGCCGAGGGCACCGGGCCGGTCAGACCGACCGTCAGAAGATACAACACTCACACAGACACACATACACACACGTGCGTGCACAGCGAATGGGAGTGTGAGATAGAGGCCGCCTGTCGCGGCGGCGGCCGACGCCAGAGATTTCAATAATTTTGTAATAGCTTGCGCAGTTATCACCACTATAATGATAGTCTGTTTATTTATGTGCGTAGTGAGCTTGCTAGCGGACCCAATGGAGAACAAATAATGTGCTAGAAGATCATTTTAATCTCATTGACATGATTCCCGGAGCTGTACTGACTGGTGAATCGTTGGACGTTGTTGATTACTTTTATTTCCTGCGACCGGTCTCCCAGAGAATGAAATAAATCGTCACAGATGATTGGTGCGTTTGGGAACGACGGTCGACGACTCTTACTTCGACGTATGAGGAGAAGCATGCTGGAAATATTTTCTCGCTATCGATTTTGGCGTGTTGACGCAGCGTTGCTGACCGTCTGTCCGTCTGGCGAGAAAAAAGGAACATCAAAATCGAAACTTGGAGGTTCGGAATGTCGAAATCGATAAGTCCAATTCCAATCAGGATGTCTTGGATTCTTGTGTAGCGGTCTCGCCTGCTCTTTCTCGCGACTAGTTTCGATCATTTTCGGTCCAAGCTCGGTCTTGGTTAGTCATTATCAGTCTAAGCTGTTCCATCCCGCTTTCTTGGTTCCATTCCGTCTCTTCCGTTCCGTCCCTTCTCCCTGCACTGTCTCACCTCTCTCGTTCCGTTTCGTTTATCGTTCCGTCCGGGTTGTTTCGTACGTTACTGCACAGTCCCGCCTCCCAGTCGTTTTCTCCATCCCATTCCGCCATATTATCTGCCCGGCCCTGGCACTCGCCCCTTCCTGCCGCTCCGTTCTGTCCCTTGTCCCGTTTCGTCAGGATTCTCTCTCTCTCTCTCTCTCTCTCTCTCTCTCTCTCTCTCTCTCTCTCTCTCTCTCTCTCTCTCTCTCTCTCTCTCTCTCTCTCTCTCTCTCTCTCTCTCTCTCTCTCTCTCTCTCTCTCTCTCTCTCTCTCTCTCTCTCTCTCTCTCTCTCTCTCTCTCTCTCTCTCTCTCTCTCTCTCTCTCCCCCTCCCTCCCTCCCTCCCTCCCTCCCTCCCTCCCTCCCTTTTCGTTTTTTCCGTTTCCATACGCTCGCGTGCTCATCCCCGTTGCCTGTGATCTGCTCGCTCCTCTTCTCTGTCTCCCTCGCTCCTCTCTCCACGTCGCTGTCGTTGGCTCCGACTAGCCCCCGGCAGTCAGTCGGTGGCGGCTTGCCGTGGGGACAGAACGCCGCCGGTGATCGGAGGGAGACGTGTTCGTGCTGTCTGTGCTGCCGACACGGGGGGCTGTGATAGAAGCGAGCCTTAGGTCAGAGAGAGGTGACCCGAGTTCAGGGGCGTTCGTGAGAGATGACTGTGGGTTCTATTTGTCGGTGAGAGGTGACAGGAGGTCCAAGGCATTTGTGCCGGTTAGACATTGATAAAAGTAGCCTGATATATAAATAAGACTGTGTCGATGAGTGAGGAGGCTGGACCGGTCAGTGACAGGTGACCACTGGAGATCACAAACGGCGGTACGAACGGGAGCTGTCCACGGCAGCAGTCAGACGTCGCTCGCCGCTACTGCCGGTGACCAGCGAAAGCCTGCGTTCCATACACACCCGTCTCCGCAGTGAAGCCTTGTACAGATCAAGCCCGTCCCAAGTCTAGACGGACTGTCTGGGATAGGCTGTGCTCTGGACACGCTGAAACGTTCAAACCGTCACCGTCTCCCTGTGCGATCGGCCGACTGCTAAGAGTCTTGATCTCTACGCTTCGGGGAAGGTGAGCCAATCGACCAGTAACGATGCCATCGGTTAGAAGACCGCTCGGAGATTGCTTGTGAAGCCTGCCATTTAAAACCGCCCGGAATTCTTGTCTTAACACCCCGGAGTCTGTCACCCACGGATCATTGTCCCGCCCTGCCTCGGACCAGGCGGCTCGCGGGGTCCAATAACTGTCCGTCGGGCCACTAAACTTAATTAGTAGGGGAAGGTGGGGTAAGACGGACCAGCTAGGGTTTGAGGCCGCATATCTTGCTACACTGCTCTCGTAATTCATATTATTTATAATCCTCGGAATGCTCAATCCTTCCTCTGTTGATATGTGTAAAAACTAAATTTCAAATTAAAGACATCTAGGTGGTGGATGCTCTTAAAGAGGGACATGTCAAAAACTCAGACAAGAAAAAACGTGGGGTAAGACGGACCACCCAGCAGTGCCTGCTATCCGTTCATGTGTGTTACACTTCTGCTCTGTACTCTTGTAAGAAAAAGTAACCAGAATGGTAAAATAACAAAATGAGCCTTTATTCTTTACTCATGTGTGATGGAAGTGCAGCTAAAAGCTGGGAACATGTGTGTTGATTGTCGTTTGGCATGAATGCATGCTAACTGAGCACTTGCATGCATGGCTCACATGCAACAAAGACTCCTTCCTGAAAAATTAGCTTACTTAAACTTGTGTCAATGTTTTGGAAAAGAACTTTCCATATGCAGGGTACAATGGACCACCACAGGGTAAGATGGACCGCAGTGGTCCGTCTTGCCCCAAATCTAAATTCTGTCATTATCATGACGCATATGTCAAATAGCCCAACATTGCAAAACCTTGCCTTTCCTTAAGTGTGACTATAACTAAGTTTATAACTTTGTTCTTCACAGTTAAGTGCAAAATAGAAACTTATCATGCAAGAAAGGCGCCGTAATTGAATCACCCGTAGACCTCTAATATTAGATCGGTTTGACGAAAAACAACATTTTTCTCAATAACTCAAAAGCTATGCATCCTAGCAGCATGAGCTCAAGGTGGCCATTGTTACGAAGGAAAACAAACATAGTGAGTGCATAAAGCAGTAGATACCAGCAGCGGTTCAGCCGGGAGGGCTGGTGGTCCGTCTTTCCCCGCTGGGCCGTCTTACCCCACCTTCCCCTACCCTAATGTCGATTAGTCCGCAGTCGATAAACCGCCCCAAGTTTGGCAGTAAACCGCCTGGGGTTATATCAAGAGGATCGCACACTCGGTGTCCGCCGTCCGAAATCAGTACGGATTTCAGGCCTCGCATACATGTCAATATTCGTGGTCGTCAAGGTCGTTTGGCTTTGTTGGCACTGCTGGGGACTGCGCTGAGGTCTGTGGATATCTGTATTCTCAGGTGTCATTAGTGTTACTACACTACCGACTGCGTACTGTCTTGCAGGCAGCTGCTAATTCTGGTGGTTCTGTCCGCAGATGATCGGCCGGCCACAGACACCGTTCCAGCAGCCGGGGCTGGTCCTGGTGCTGGTGCTAACGCTGGTGCCGGCCTCGTCGCCGCTCTTCACCAGGCCACCGCAGAAGCGCACCACCGCTACTGTCGGTATGCCTTACCTATCAATGTCGGTATTGATGTCTATGACGTTCTTTCCAATCTCAGATACTAAACGGTTTACAGATACGGTGCACAGACAATTCATATTTACGAGCATTAGCAGACACAGACAGCATGGGACAAACTAGCCACTCCCGACAGAAACGTTCCCGGTGCCACCTTATCCTTCCAGTAGTTTCGCGGCCGTCGTCAATCCTTCGATAATTGGAACTGCGACACCTTTCATAAATTTATGTCTGTCCCGGGCGTAAATTTTGCTCTGCTGTTCGGTGTTCCTCGTTTCGTAGATCGGCTGAGCAGTGAGCAGGCAGGGAAATCGGCCGGGGTGCATCTCAAATCGCCCGTGATGGGTCTCAGACCATTTGCATAATGTATCAGACCGTGCAGTGTCTCAAACCGGCTGTGGTGTGTCTCAGACCCAGACGGGGATTGGTCTCACTCAGGTCCGGGCTGTGTCTCACTCAAGTCCGGGCTGTGTCTCGCTCAGACCGACTGTGTCTCAGACCGGGCTGTGACTCATTCATACCGGCCGTGTCTCAGACCGTTTTGTATCGGGCCATGCTTGATGTTATACTTAACCCTCGCCGGACCTATTGGTTTTCTACATACGCGCCGGCCGAGGGGGGGGGGCGGGTACGACCCCCCCCCCCCCTCGCCGTTTCGCCCCTGGTGGAGCTAGCGCGTCGCGGAAAAAACGAGCGTGTGCGCCGTTACGAGACGCAGAGATTGGTACCCGAGTTTAAGGTCCTAGGTCAACCGGTGACCTCTGAGGTCAGGTCAAGTGCCCCAAGGTACGGTTCAGTTTTTGGTGAATAACTTCGCAAAAACGGCCGCAGAGCGCCGATTTTGGCAGCATCGTGTTCGTCTCGCTCATGCGCGTCGAATGATATACTTTTTGTTCGGGTCAGGTCAACTTGGGGTGTTGACCTCAGGTCAAGGTCAGGTCAGCACCCCCAGGTCACGAAGTTGGTCGAAAGAGGTCATGTCGCATATCATTCGATTCGGCAGGTCTTCCTGAGTCAGTGGCGGATCTACGTTGGGGCAAAATGGGCAATTGCCCCCCCTAAACGGAAAACCTCTGGGCAAACATATCTTTTTGCCCCCCCTAAAAACACTACAACTTGAATACTAAAAATATGGTGTTTGAAAAGAAAATGTGAAATAAATGGAGAAAGGCTCAGTCAGAGCTTTTGGTTTGCAAGTTGTTGGAGAAGCTCAGTATGTTGTGGGAACTTAACGCTGTTCAGTGTGATTCCGTTGGCTGTGGTCCTATGTAGTCTGTGGAAGCATCGTTTATCTCCTCTCGAAAGTAACACTTATTGTACCTATAATTTTGCTAGCTCGCGAAGTTTAGTCCCAAAGTTAAGAAATGTTCATTGTAATTGCATCAATAAATGCAGGACCGAAAACAAATGCGCTGTTCTTCGTCTATTTCTTGTTGGGATTCTTAAAGGTAGTGTGCCAGCTTTCCTGGACCGTATGGAGTTAATGGCCCAGATAAGGAGAACCGGATTTTTAGAACTTATCCATACCTTCAAAACTCATGGAAACGTCTTAAATTCTTCAAATTTTGAATACCCCAGTGCGAAATTCGCCCCGACGGGTTGTCGGTCGTACCCCAACCACATTTCACACCACTATGAACAATAAATGCACACACTGAAATCGCTATTACCGATAGGCTCATCCAATCAAGTTTCGATAAACCCGCTCATCATCATCTCCTGCGGTTTCGAACACGCCTGTTAGGTGGTGCGGTAGACCGCGCCCAAAGCCAGGGCCCCGGTAACGTGAGGTAGCCGAGTCGGGGCAGCGTGCGCTGACCCAAGCCGAGGCCGCGCGTCCTCCCGGTGTCATGTGATAGCCCGGGGCTGCCCGCGGGGATGCGGTAGACCGCGCCCAAAGCCGCGGCCCCGGCTTGGGTCAGCGCACGCTGCCCCGACTCGGCTACCTCACGTTACCGGGGCCCTGGCTTTTGGCGCGGCTTCTGCTCATGCTTTGTGGTGCGGTGGTGGTGCGTCGGGCCGCGCGCTCTGACTTCGGCCAAGAAAAATGCGTCAGCTGATCATTGTCATTTCTGCCACTTTCATGTGGTGAGATGGGGTCATAACTTTAGAGACGGCTGTTTCATATCAATTATTTTACATAAAATAATATTTCAAACCATGAATTAATGTTTGACAGCCAAATTAAAGAAACAATGCCAATACAGGCTTACAGTTTAAATTCGACATTGTGTTGTCTACGATTAGATAGCTGATAACTCATTCCCGCACGTCGTAACTCTATAATGACCTTTGCTTATTGTCACATGTGCGCCGCATTCGTGATTGTTGCCGACGCCGGTTTGCAGGTCAGCCCACTACAGTTGTTATACATATCGAAAAACCGATAAACTTTTAGGCGAAAAAAGTACTATTTTAGGCCCATTTTTGATTTTTTGCGATATTAGGTAAAAACAGAAGCTTCTTATCCTAGGAAAAATAAAATGGGAAATCATTCAAAGGTGGCACACTACCTTTAATCGACTGATCTCATTTTCTATTACCGGAAACAACTAATACGTTTAACTACGTGGCAACCCTGACTGCGTATAGTATCGCAGGTACGCTGATGTGGCCTTTGGTCGTGGGCATTTACACATGAACCTGCTGCTGCGACCCTTATCGGTCTCCGGATACAGAAGCCCTTGAGAACCGGCGCGGGCGGACCTTTCGGACGAGGTCTTGCCGAGGTGATGCGGGAGGTAGAGGACGGACTGTCCATAGCGCCGGTGAGCTATTCTCTAACTATCTCCCGGAGTCAGGGTGGCTGCAATTTTTTTTTTTTTGCACTGCCCTGGCTTGGCCGGACTGACAAAAATGTAAAAAAAATAAAAAAAAAGATTCCCGAAATCCGAGGAGAAAAATAGGGGTAGCTCGTTTTTTTTTTTTGTTCCTAAGACTGGACGTTTGAAATTCTCGCCGACTTGCCTGGCGGCGCAATGTTTGCCCCCCCCCCCTAAACTCAAATCCTAGATCCGCCACTGTCCTGAGTCCATTGGTGGCTTTCCCGACTCGCTAGCTCAATTTGATCAAGAGTTATTGACAAAAAACTAATATGACCTTGATGACGTCATAAATGACGTCACGCAAGGTCAACATTGCAAAAGTGACGCATCTAACCTTGCAAGGAGTGCATAAAATCACGATTCTGTGTGCTTGAGATAGTTGGAGATCGTTCCCGGCGCCAGAATAGCAGTTTTCATTTTTCCCCATTGACTTATAATGGTGAGGTCACGAAAATGACCTGACCTCATATGACCTTAAGGAAAAATCCGAGATATACAAGTTGTGGGACTCATAATGGATACTAGATCCTGCAAGTTTCATTTCCCTGTGACATCTCCTCTGGCAGTGAGGGCGTTGCGAAGTTGCGACATCTGAAGACCGTGCAGAGGTTCACTTATGACGTCATAGGTCAGTGACCTGACCTGACCCAAAAATGCGGTTGGTGTCAAAAGATGCGGCTTGGATCAAAGGTCAGGTATGCCAAGTTTCAGCTCTCTATCGCCAGCGTGTTCGGAGCTATCGCGAAAAAACCCTATGGGGGGGGGCGGCACCCGCCCCCCCCCCCCCCCCTCGGCCGGCGAGGGTTAATACAGTGCCGCCTCATACGGTTGGCTCAGACCTTTCCGTCACATACCGACAGTGCCGTGCGCCGGACCGACCATCCACACCAGCACTCCACTCCCCAGTTCGGCTCTCGGCAGCTCGGCCGTCCGTCCAACAGTCTCTCTCGGCAATAAAACAGCCGCCGCTGGCGCCGGCCGTCGGCACTGCCGCAGCGGCGCACGCCAAATCGGCCCGGCCGGAAACGCTGACTGGCCGCGCCGCCGGAACCTGGCAGCGCGGCCGGTTTACGAGCGCTGCGGCCACCGGCCGCGACGCGTTTTTACGGGACGACCGACGGCGCCGACACTGCCTGGCCGAGCCGCTGACGCCGGAAACGAACCGGTGGGTTTGGTGACATACCAGCGTCAATACCAACCAAAGTGATTGCATTACAAAACAGTCATTAGTCGATCGTCGTTGTCCGGGATCGTAAAACATGACTTGGAGAGAAGTGAAGGATGGTGCATTTGGCGACAGCCCGACTTTGTCGGTTGGAAATTGAGCTGTTAGCATATTTGTTCGGGTATCGGAAGGTCTGTCGGCGGTACCGTCCCAGTTTTCTCGGCGGGGACAGAGCTGCCGGCATATCCGTTGGCACATCAGAGGAGCTGTCGGTGCGGTGTATCGGAGGAGACGGGCTGTCGACGTGCCTGTCGGTCTATCACAGCCCACGGGGGCTGTCGACGAAGGCAGTGCTGTCGGCGGGTACGGCGCTATCACCGAGGACGGCGCTGTCGGAGATTCCGCCGGCGACGGATGTTCACGCTGACAGATCACCTCCTGTCGCTTCTTTAGCCAGCTCCGGCCGAGTCCGGGCTGGCTCCGGGCAGCTCCAGCCGTGTCCGGGCCCGTCTCTAGGCTCCGGGCGGCTCTGGTTCTATAGGGCCTTGGCTGTGGTCGTGTCCGGGCCCGGGCCCTGGCCGTCTCCGGGGGGCCGGAGCCGGCCGACAGCAGTCTGACCGATGGACGTCAGTGACCCACGCTGACCGATAACGGGATGCAGTCGTCTTCAGTCATACACACCACACGCTGGCGAATAAGATTACCTTTCCCTTCTAATGACTCCCGTCGGCTCCCTCTCTTCCTTATCTTCATAGTTTATGCCTCAGTCTATTCACATTCATTTTCTCTATCTTTATCCTCTTTCTTTTCTTCCCCATTTCCTTTCTCTCTCTCTCTCTCTCTCTCTCTCTCTCTCTCTCTCTCTCTCTCTCTCTCTCTCTCTCTCTCTCTCTCTCTCTCTCTCTCTCTCTCTCTCTCTCTCTCTCTCTCTCTCTCTCTCTCTCTCTCTCTCTCTCTCTCTCTCTCTCTCTCTCTCTCTCTCTCTCTCTCTCTCTCTCTCTCTCTCTCTCTCTCTCTCTCTTTCTCTTTCTCTTTCTCTTTCTCTTTCTCTCTCTCTCTCTCTCTCTCTCTCTCTCTCTCTCTCTCTCTCTCTCTCTCTCTCTCTCTCTCTCTCTCTCTCTCTCTCTCTCTCTCTCTCTCTCTTCATGTCGCTCCTCTGGCCTACTTTTTTGTCACCCAGCGCTCTTTCCTGTCGGAGCTATCATTGATTTTCCGATGACTAATGTCAAATCGATGGCGGCTGCGGTACTCGAATTGGCGTGCACCGCTCTCTTCCCCGTCAATCTGGCCGGCGCCCGCGGTAATTAGCGGGGCTGATTGGCGGGGCGTATATCGGCCGGCACAGTGGGATGGACGAGAGATCGTCCGGGATGTCACCGTCCAGCGGCCGACGATCTAGAGACAGAACCGACGCACCACTGACAGGGACCGAGCTGACTGACACACTACTGACACAATACTAACACATCAATGGCACAGATCGATCGTCACACTCCTGTCGCCATTACCATACCACTTTCATGGTCCGAGCTGTCACAACACTGCACTGTCAGTCTTACTGACATAGACCGAGGCGTCATCAGTTCTCTATATACCGTGGCGTGGCGTCATCTTACTGCAACACCTGATAGGTGATCACGAACGAACTCGTCTAGTTAAAAATGCCCGTATTCCTCTCACAGGAGCCATCTTCACAGAAGAGCAGAGAAGTGGACCTATTGAAACGGCATTCAAGTATGCAATTCAAACAATCAACGAAGGCACGGATATCCTTCCGAACATTACGCTCGAGTATGATATCCGCTACGTCCACCGAGACGACAGCTTCCACACTGCCAAAAACGGTACGTACTTTATGGTAAATACCAGTTTCTGTGTAAGTTAGCCAACCTGTGACCAAAGCTCATAGAAACGTTGAACTACTTAGTCATTGTCTTCATGTGTATACCTGCATGACAGTTTCAGTATGATTCTTCGTGCCCCATCCGGCTCCACCCAGCCCGTCACTCCTGGCTCCTCTCCTAACCACCCAATGACCGCTGCTCCATGTCAATTAGAGATCCTCCATCAGACGTCATCGACTGGCTGATGACCCTATTAGACCCACCGGTGCCACTCTCCTCCCCGCCCCCTCACCGTCGCATAACACGGTTATGCGGGGCCACTCCGGCCCCTCACCTATCGCATAACACAGTTATCGTGCAGCGCTTCTGTTGCTGTCCGTAGTGCGTTAGCTTAGGCTCCTTCCCGAGAACTGTTAGTAGACCTTTACCAGACCACGTCAGACCCTCCCAGACCATGTCAAACACTCCCCAGACTGTTTCAGATCAGACCCTCCCCACACCATAACATCCCTTACCAGACCACGTCAGACCCTCCCCAGACCATGTCAGACGTCAGACCCTCCTCAGACTGTTTCAGATCAGACCTTCCCCACACCATAACATCCCTTCCCAGACCATGTCAGACCCTCCCAGACCATGTCAGACCTTCCTCATGCGGTGTCTGTTCTCCCCAGGCCCAGACCGTGCCAGACCCTTCCTTAGACTGCTTCGAACCCAGGCCCAGGCGGGCCAGGCCTGCACTCTCGCCACTCGCTCCGGTCTGTAGTATCCGGAGGTATCACAGGTATGACACAGGTATCATGCTCATCTGTGTGACACTGGTTGTCGCAGTATGCGGTCAGCTGCGGCGCGGCGTGGTGGCCATCCTGGGGCCGTCCGACCCGCTGCTCGGGCCGCACGTGCAGAGCATCTGTGACGCCGTCGACGTACCGCACTTGGAGGCACGCGTCGGCGAGGCGGCCGGCGGCGCGGCCGGGCTCAGCGTCAACCTGCATCCGGCGCACGGCGAGCTGGCCAGCGCTTACGGCGACCTGATCGGCTTCCTCAACTGGAGCCGCATGGCAGTGGTCTATGAGGACAACGCCGGTAAGTTAGCGGCGGTGGTGGGGCTTCACAGGGGACACGGCGAAAGGCAGTATGTCACGGTGGAGACTTGGCAAATGGCAGCTCAAATTCAACTGCGTTTCGTTAACCCCCCCCCCCCCCCCCACAATATAGTATAGTCCTTCTAAGGCCGGGGGGATCCAGGGGATTAGACTGGCAGATTGTTATGAAGCTGTTTCACCAGGACTAGCACGGGATGGCATGGCTATTTACGAAGCACCGTCGCCCCGACAGGCCTGCTGCAACTTCAGACGCTGGTGGGCACGCCTCCGGGCGCCGACATGGAGGTGTACATCCGACAGGCCGACCCGGCCGACTACCGACACGTGCTCAGTGACATCAAGAACAAGAACATCTTCAATGTGATCGTCGACACCAGGACGGAAAGCATCCCGCTGTTCCTCCGAGCGGTCAGTGCTCGGTAGACTGTGGCAAAGGATATAGCTAGAGTTGTCAATTCCCAGAGAGCATTTTTCGTTTTGGAAGCGCCGTTCTGTCCCTGCCCATTGTGTCCGTTCTTGCGGTGCCTAACAGTCCCATTATTACCGCTTCTTGGCCGAATCTGGGACTGCTTCCAAAATGCGCGTGTAATGAGGCTGGCTGTTATCTGGAGATAAAAGCCCGCGACTGTCATTCCACCCCCGCTCCCCGAGTCCCTGGGGCCGTGTGGGCGTGGCAGCCCGCCAGGCGGGCAGACAGTGCACGCACACTGCACAGTGCTAGTAGTATGAGCTTAGGTGCGGGACCCGTCTATTGCTGGTAAAAGGGTGTGTCCTGCCTGTGCCGAGTCGATGAAACTGAGGTCGTCACAGGGAACATTTCTGTCTATTTCTGTTCCATCAAACTACCACACCGCTGTTTCAGAAGTCAGCTCATACGTGCTGACCTGATTATCAATTATTTCAGCTGCTGCAACTTCAAATGAACGACTACAGATATCACTTCATCTTTACTTCGTTTGTAAGTACACAAAAAGGAACATGCATGCTCCATTTAAACAAGTACCTTGGCACAATTTTAGATAATGCATACAATTTTATAGTCGTGTAAAAGTATTAAATGCATGAGAAGGTGACTGTCGATGAAGTACGCTGTGTATGCGAGTTGACGCGTGAATGATGGCTGGTTCGTACCTCGCCTCAGGACACCGAGACGTTTGACCTGGAGGACTTTCGGTACAACCTGGTGAACATGACGGCGTTCCGGCTGGTGGCCAGCTCCCAGCCGGCTGTGCGGCGAACGGTGACGCGCATGGCGGCCTTCCAGCCGGTGGGAGTGGGCCCCGTGCACCCGCGAGGCGTTCTACAGGTGAGTTTCAAACAGTCCTACAGGCGAGCCTTTCATAGTTATGCTTTTGTTAGCGAATACGGGATGGAGCATCGACGTTCCGATTCGACATAGACCAACCACGCGAACGACGAACACACATGTGTTTTTGTGGCGACTATTTGTACTCGTAAGCTCAAGTCCATTGTTCTGTTTGACGTGTCCGGGCATTCCGGTGCCGTAATTGATCATTGCTGGCTAATCCCGGGTATCCCGATGCCGTTGTTAGAGGACTCACTATTCGTTGGTGTCCGAGGCCCTGCGTGTAGTAGACTGACTGCCATTCCCCGGCTGTCTCTGTGTTATTCCGGAGCAGGCGTCGTCAGCGCTGATGGTGGACAGTGTGAACGTGTTCGCTCGCGGTCTGCACGCCTTCACTGCCGGCCGTGGTGCGCCCGCGCCGCCCAATGTCACCTGCGAGCGACTGACCGCCTGGGAGGACGGACTGAGTCTGCTCAACTCCATCGCAGCGGTGAGTGGACGGTGGGTGGTGGGCGGTGGATGAGGATGGCGCAGGACGGGGGCGGTCACCGTGGGCGGTGGACGGTGGATTGGAAGTGGTGGGCGATGGATGTTGGACGATGGACAGTGGATGGTGGACGTGGACGAAGGCTAATATTGGACTGACTGTTGGTGCGGTATTGTCTATGTCCGTCTGGACGGTCTGACCGGCCCAGTGATCTATCTGTGGAGTCTGACAGAGTCGTCTGCCTGTAGGTCCGACTGGACGGCCTGACCGGCCCGGTGGAGCTGATCGAGGGCCGCCGCACCGGTGTACGTCTGGAGCTGCTGAAGCTGGCGAACCGCGGCGGGATGCGCCCGGTGGGACGCTGGAGCCGCCGGCACGGCATCACCATCACCAACCGGACGGCCTTCTTCGGCACCGGCCGGCCCAACGTCACACTGCTCGTCACCACCATCCTGGTGAGTGGAGAGCACCAATGGTGCGCGGCCCTTTTTGTTGCTGTCTACCCTAGCATTATTTCACTATCCCAGTTATATAGACACCAACCAAACTGACCAATAGCTGGTAGGTGTCTTATATGCCATAAGACCCGTTTTGTCCGCTCATTGTTTCTTGGTCATTCCATCCGTTCACGTGTAGCGGCGGGGAGCCTCCTTCACCGTACACCATTTATTTCTCTCGGCCGGCTGGCGCCTCTCAGCACCGGACTGGAAAATCAGCGGCGACCATTCGGCCATTTTCCTTGGGGCGCCTTCCGTCGGATTTACTCGGCGACTGCCGGGTGATGAACGGGCGACCACCACCAGCCTGTCTGCCCTGGGCGGGGGGAGGGGGCGGCAGCGTCATTAGCTGATGCGGGGGCCGGCCACCTCGGCGCGCCTCCCTGCTCTCTCCCCCTCTCTCCCCGTCCGTCCCCGGGTCATTGGGACGGTACGGCCGGAGATGACGCTCCCCACTCCATTTGTGCCGCCTTTGTGTCACTCTCCAGTATACGAGTGCTGAGTTATTGAGGCACGGCCAGTCACAGCCCGTCCCGGTATACGAGTGCTGAGTTATTAAGGCAGTTCACACGGTCAGTCACAGTACATACGAACTCTGAGTTATTGAGACACACTCACAGACAGTCTGTTCTGTATGTCCCGTTATATGAGCAATAAATATATTGAGCCACAGCCCACAGCCAGTCACAGACCAAGATTTATCGGGGCACAAGCCAGTCACAGTCCGACCCGGTGTACCCCGATAGATCGAAATCCGCTGCAACCCACGGGGTTTATGATAAGAGCACTGAGTTATTGGAACGCGGCTGGGGTGCGAGCGCCGTAGAGGCAGACTGCACCGCACGGCACGGGTGTCCTGCGGCACAGCCTACCCACCCGCTCTCCGCCGCCGCGCCGACGATACGCAGACACGCGTTTGGCTGTTTTTGGGCGGAACGACGGCTGTTCCGGCGGATTCACTTTGCTCTTTTTGTTTCCATGTTTGTAATGGCATTAGGGTGTGTCGATTACACGGCCATTTTAGCGCTTATTTTACAATCACTTCGTTCAGCATTAATTTATACTTGGAACTATCGGTTACGGTAAACATAGACGGATAGTTTCGCTGAAGTTGGAACGAGGTAAATTAGATCAACAATAATGCATTCCGCGAAAAAGAGCGCTAATGTTTTTTAATATCCAGAGCCAGGGCACAACGGTTGCGATATTTCCAACTTTCCACTGCACCAGTAAGTTCGTTATACCTATGTCTATCGGTTGTTTCCAACAGGAGCGTCCGTTTGTGATGGTGAAGAGCGGTAGCAACCTCACCGGCAACGCCCGATTCGAGGGCTTCTGCGTGGACCTGCTGGAGCGGGTGGCCAAGGCGACCGGCTTCCAGTACCAGATCGAGCTGGCGCCCGAAGGCAACTTCGGCACCCGCGACCCGGTCACGGGCGAGTGGTCGGGACTGGTGCGGCAGCTCATTGATAAGGTGAGGACTGAGGGCTCCCACAAGGTGCGGCAGGTCATTTACAAGGTGAGAGGTCCCGACATGGTGCGCACCACTTACAAAGTTAGGTGTAATTTTTCCGTTATTTCTGATATGTTGAGTCTGTTGAGCTAGCACGCCTGTCGCAGCACCGCCCTACGGTCCGAGACTCGGTCCGCTGTGGAAGCCTGCCTTCCCGACCATAGAAGTTTCCCGATCGAGCCCGCGCCCGCCGGCCCTCCACCGTACTGATCCCTCAGACGGCCCTCCATCTCACTGATCCCTCCGGCGGCTCTCTATCGTACTGATCCCTTCGGCGGCGGGATGATCGCATAAACAAACGGATTACTGACCGACGGCGGCCGTGTGCTAACAACGCTGCCGGCGTGGGGCGGACCGAACGGGACGGGGACGGACCGAACGGGCCTAAAGACCGAACGGGCATGGACGGTTCTAGGGTGCAGGGACGGTCAGAGTAGAGACGGGGAACCTGGTACGAGGAACCGGAGATGGGCTGAGTGAGAGCAGGCTAGCTTCTGAAGCTTGGGAGCTTTCCTGTCATAAAGTTTGATGATGCAGCTGTCCATATTTAGTTAAAGTTATAGCAATGTTCTCTGGTAAAATTGACAACGGTGTCATTACTGTTCTTCATGTAATAACATAGTTTGAAAGAAACACCGAGCTTTGTATAGTTAGCAAAGCTTTCACCGTTTTTTGCTCGATTGCGGTTTGTCTGAACTCTGACTGTACCTATGAATTATGTCCGTCTGAACAGAAGGCCGACCTGGCCGTGGCCTCGATGACCATCAACTACGACCGAGAGAGTGTGATCGACTTCACCAAGCCGTTCATGAACCTCGGAATCAGCATCCTCTTCAAGGTAACCGACGATAGCCTCTCAGCTATTATAGCATACCTGCAGTGCTACATGAATGAATGCGTTGTCTGGTGCGATTATTCCGGAGCGATGGTGACTTACCGGTGTTGAATCATTGACCAAAGCTCAGGTGTCGTAAACTGGGATCGAATGCTAATAGATTCGCGCCACATCTTCCTTTATTCAATTTCATCTTATCTGCCCTGATTACGCAGTTCAGCTGCCAGCACAGGGAATTAGGTAGGTGTAACGAGATGCTGTGAATACCATAATGAAATTTTGAAAATTGGGTTTACCTGAGCTGTCTTAGATATTTTTTGTTTGAAAATGTGACGTTTTGATATAACTGTTACAGGTACCAAAAAGTCAGCCGACACGACTGTTCAGGTGAGTGTTTTATTATCAAGTATGAGCTGTCTCGAAACTGCAGAAAAGCTTTTGCCACTTTCAAATTAGCCGAGATGGAGTGCACTCCATCTTACTTCGTACGTTGGAGCGTATGCTTTAACTTGGAAGGTAGACATGTACATTTCAACAGCATTTCATGCCTAAAAAACGACTTTGAGAAGCTCCTGTTTTCCTGAAGATTGATGGCACCATGTCCGTGGCATTGAATCACCGAGTTCCGCCGCCGTGTGCCGTCAGCTTCATGAACCCGCTGGCGGTGGAGATCTGGCTGTACGTCATGGCCGCCTACGTGATCGTCTCCTTCACCATGTTCGTGATGGCGCGCTTCAGTCCGTACGAGTGGAACAACCCGCACCCGTGCTTCGACGATAACGACGTGGTCGAGAATCAGTTCAGCGTCAGCAACAGCTTCTGGTTCATCACCGGAACACTGCTGAGGCAGGGCTCCGGACTGAATCCTAAGGTAAGGGAGCCGGGAGGGAACTCTGCTGCGACAGGGGACCAGACTGAGTCCTACTGGGAATGCTGCTGTGACATGGCTCGTAACTCAACCCCTGAATGGGTTCAGCCCCGATCTTTGCAGGGATCGGCGGTGTAGTCCAAGTCGAGTAATTCTCGAGAAACTGAATCAGATGTCAAAGCATCACAAGGCCACCGACTGAGCCGTCCACCGTCTCAAGAGCATTGTCAAGTTCCTACTAGAGGTGGAAATGAATGTTAGTCATTAGTCAAAAATTAGTCGACTAACGTTAGTCAAGCGCTTTTTTAGTCAGTCAAAAGTCAGTCAACCAAAATGTTTGTTAGTCATTAGTCAGTCATTAGTCAATGATTTTGGTGCATATTAGTCGACTAATTTGTCGTGTTTCGTGAGGTGACCTAACCCTCGCATGTGTAGGGGGGTCGGATGGACCCCCCATGGTTTTTCGCGAATAACTCGCGCAAAAAGCGGCCGATCGCGACAAAACTTTCAGTACCCTCGAGTTGATCAATTTTACACCTACTCTTAAAATTTCATGATTCCGACCCAAATGACCTTTGACCTGTGAACAGATTCTCGAGACCATGTTCGGCCGGAATCGCGATTTGGCGTATGTCAGCTCACATTATCCGCGTGTTTCCAGTCTTTTTGTGATTATAAACGTCCAAACATCTGAAATGATGTTCGTCCCACGCATTACGGTGGGTGTCAAGGTCACCTGAAGGTCAGGTCAGGTCATTGACCTTGGATGACCTCGGCTCACTTTTTCGAATTTTACATGTTTCTAGGGTAGTTTTTCGGGCTGATTTCGAATTTGGCATCCATTTCAACATTTACGAAGTAGTTTTAGTGGCTTTGTAACATGTTACGACGCCGTCAGTGGTAGTTGACACCTACTATGGATAGCCGGCAGGACGCCTACTGGTCGACCTGACCTGACCTGACCCGACCTGGCCTAAATGCATGCAGACATCATCTGTGATCAAAACTAACATGAAGTTCGTGATCAGCACTCCGAAAAACCCCATAACAGCTTCAATTTACGACGAAACTCTAGCAGGTCCCGATTTTCCCGACGTTTGGGTCATTGACCTGACCTGGAATGTCAACCAATGATCTAGGACCTTAAAATTGGGTATCGTCGGCTTCCTCTCGTCACGGGCAGCACGCTCGTTTTTTTCCCGCGAAGCTCTAGCTTGATCAGGGGCCGAACAGCAGGGGGGGTTCAGTCCACCCCCCCCCCCGCTACACATTAGACGCTGGCAAACGCCGCACACATGCGAGTGTTAACCCGCGCCCCACTGGGGTCGCCGGCCGAACGCGCTCGGCTGGAGGGGGTAAATTTTACCCCCTCCCCCTGTTATCTCCCGAACCAGGCGTCGTAGTGGCCGACAAGATATCTTGCGCTCGCTTCGCATCGCGGTGGCCATGAAATAATAAGGGATAAAATTTGGGATCGATTGGTGTTCTTCCAGTGTCGATCAGACGTCTAGAAGTTTAGATATTCGCGAAAAAACTTGCTTTGCTTGTAAATTCCGAAATTTAGTCAAATATTAGTCAAAATCGAGAAAAATGGCGTTAGTCATTCATTAGTCAGTCAAGCTTTTTGAGACGACAGATTAGTCAGTCAAAAGTCAGTCAACCAAAATCGTCATTAGTCATTAGTCAGTCATATTTAGTCAAGATTTTGGAAAACGTTAGTCATTTCCACCTTTAGTTCCTACTACAGGGTGATCGAAAAAAGTGTCACCCCTAACTTAAAGGGAATATCAGGGTTTAAAAATTGAAAGGAATCGGCATAAATTTCCAATCAATGAACTCCCCAGACTCTGCCGATTCTAAATATATGCATAAAATGTAAATCGGTACCAAAATTTGCGAGATATCGCCGTTTCAAAATTGACAAAATTGTACTTACGCAAAACAAGTACTTGGGCGGCCAAGTTGGCCCATCACTAAAATGTAAACAAAGAGCAGCCTTGGGAAATTTCGCCAAGGCCGCCGCACCGCACTGTCGATTTCCACAAGACGGGCCTTGTCTGTTTTGTTTTTGTCTGTTGTTTTTAGGGCCTTGCAACAAGATTTCAGTGCTTGGCATTGAATTTGGATATGAACAAATTGAAGATTTGCTTTTCAATAAGACAGCAAGAGTTATCAACATTGCCAAAGTTATTATTTTGATTTGGGTGTGATTTGAATAGCTTGAGCTTGTTTGCTGATCATCAAATCTTGATTAATATCATTTAAATGTCAACAATTTTCAAGGGTAAATTTGAGTGTTTTATTTCAATAAATTGAAATGTAAGTGCATCAGGCACTAGAGCTAAGTTTCAATCTGATTATTTTGTCAAGAGTGGTCAATCTAATGTAACGTCTTGCGAGAAAGCTTACCTAAGTGACTGAAGAAAGCGCTACCTACAGTTTTTCAAGATCTATGTTGATCTGTTTTTTCGAACAACAGGTTGTACAACATGATGTTGTGACATGACCTCTGTGTCCTGTACGTCTCTCCTGCTGCTGCAGCAGAGCCCCGGCTTCAACTATAGTTTGTTATGGGTGGGCTCTCCGTGAACGTCTTGGTGCGTTTCTACATATTGCTGCTGTGAAAGGACGGTACATGAAAAAATATGTAACTTGTATGTTTTTTATTGCCCTGGTACCTACTTAATGTATATTTTTGTTGTTTATGAGTGATAAATGAATATATTTTGAGGAAAATTGAGGCATTTCAGTTTTAGTTTGTGGAACAGAACAGAAGAAGCTGCTGAGTGCGGATCATGCTTCAATTGAGAGAATCATCCTCAGTTATCTACATATAGGCATGCTTTGTAAGCTCCTTGCATTTTGCCAGCTTCTACTTGCTAGTCAAAGTTGTAAGAAGGGTTAGGGAGAACAATTGGTACACATGCCACCATGTGCAATCACCAAACGAATGAACGTGAGGGCCAAGTCCTTCACACAGCATGGATGCTTATAGGTACTGCACTAATGTATAATGTTCATTATGTTCATATTAGCAACTCACCCAGGCGGCCTGCCTTGTGGTATTTCTGAGTTTAAGATTTTGTAAGACTCACACTAATCATAATGTAAATTATATTGATATGTATGGATGAACAATGTGCAAAGGGGTCGCACGTGCCTGCTCAGTGCTCAGCCATGGATGCACGTGCCTTCTCAACAATGGGCGTGCTTGCAGACATCTCCATGGACGAACAATGTGCAAAGGGGGGGGGGGGCTTGCCTCCGCGGCCGCCTGTTGGCTCAGCCGCTGCTGCTGCTTGGCGCCGCTGCTGAGCGCTACCGGAGACGCCGCTCGCTGCCGGAGCTGCCGGAACAGTCACCGGAGCTGCCGCCCGCTGCCGGAGCTGCGGGAGCCGGGCCCGCCGCTCATCTGTCAGGACCGCCGACGGCAGCACGCCCGTCTGTCAGGGTCTGTCAGTGCCGGCAGTGGACGCGCGCGGGTGCGGGCCGGGTACGGACGCGCGCGGGTGCGCGCCAGGTACGGGTGCGCGCCGGCTATGGACGCGCGCGCGCTTGCGTGCCGACGATGGGCGCGCGCGCGTGTATGCCGACCATGGCTGCCGCCCGCTGCCGGAGCTGCGGGAGCCGGGCCCGCCGCTCATCTGTCAGGACCGCCGACGGCAGCACGCCCGTCTGTCAGGGTCTGTCAGTGCCGGCAGTGGACGCGCGCAGGTGCGGGCCGGGTACGGACGCGCGCGGGTGCGCGCCGGTACGTGCCGGGTACGAACTCGCTTGGGTGCGCCCCGGCTGTGGACGCGCGCGGGTGCGCGCTGGGTACGGACGCGGCGTGCTCGCCGGGTAAGGACGCGGCGCGCGCTTGCGTGCCGACGATGGGCGCGCGCGCGTGCATGCCGGCCATGGCCGCGCGCGTGCGCCCCAGCCATGGACGCGCGCTAATGCGCGCCGGCGATGGGCACGCACGTGCCTGCTCGGCAATGGATGAGCGACGAGCGTGCCTTCTCGGAAATGAGTATACATGCAGACATTTCATGGATGAACGCTTTCAATATGTTCAATGTGTTGAGACGGATCTGAGTAAACTGGAGAGAAACTAGGATAGTTTTAGTCCTGCTCAACTAGTTCTGCCAATAAGTACAAACACCACCTTGCTGCCAACTGCTTACCAAATACCGCATCTGTTGTACCCTTGCATGATGCATATGTACATACAGAAAAAAATACAGTCTGTTGAAATCTGAAAACATACACTGCTGAGCACTGTGGATGAATCTGTATGAACCCTGTGGCTCAGCGAAACCTTCTGGCCCAGGTTATAATTGACAGTGAATTAGGAATCAATCCTTGCGAAGAGAAAATAGATCATTGTGCCTTAGATGAGCATAATGAAGAAGCGTTCCTGAAGTTGAGTTAGTGACTTTCCATCATCCATGCCAGATGGCCAAAACACACCATTTCAATACTGTCCCAAAAATATATTTCAAAACACTTATTGCATGGCTATACACACCAGCTTACTCAGTCACCACACTCAAACCAAGGCCATATAAGGGTAGTAGTATAGCAGGCGTCACACTTGTTTTTTTTTTTTTGCAACCATGAACGAACGAAGAGAGGCGCTGTAGGTTAGGTTTGGTTTGGTAAGGTTTGGTGAGAAAGCATCTCTGGGTATAGCGCATCTCCTTGGTTGCAAAAAGAAGTGTGACGCCTGCTTTATGACTACCCATATAAGTAGACTCAAACACAGTCTACTGATACAAACGTCACTGGTCTCAAGTCTGCGCTCAATGCACCAGATGTACACTACTCACAATACGTCAGGACTCAACGTCAGCCACCAATTTTCTACATCAAAATTCACATCAGGTTTTCAAAGTAACAATGTATGTGCCACTTCTGTACTTTGTGCTACAAACACAGAATAAATGATATCAGTCAGCAATGCATTGCTCATTGTCAGCCAAAGTCTGCAAAGTCAGTCCGCAGGCTTTGCAAGTAAGTGC